CTTAACCAGAGCAATTAATGGTGCTCATTGCAAGCTACGTATTCTATTTTAAAATCAGTGAGACTCATACGATCTCGATCTGTCTGCGTTTGCTGACTTGTGCATGCGTATGGATTATGACAAAGTGGTGAAGACGATTTTGCTCAATGGTAACGCGAATGTACGTTTTTTTCCCTGAAGAGTAAAGAATGAGACTACGTCAGTGGTATTCTTGAAAGGGTGTAAAGACGTTTATGAACTTTATTAAACATTGAAAAAGACGGAAGTGTTCGTATATCACAAATTGTGGTAATTCAAGTTTTATATACATACTTGGAATTTGATTTTAACGTAACTTTTACTTGTTAACGGTCTTCCAATAAATCTGAAAGAATTGATTGTTATCCTTCTAGTCAATTTAAATCATATTCTTCTTTGTTCTTGGAGTTCCTGTAATCTGCGTGATAGTAAATCATTTAGAACGAGGAAAAGTTACGGCGAATAAGGATGTATTAGGCAACATTTTGGCAATGTTAATCAACATTTTCAGGGGGATAAGCTCCCCATTACAAAATTTACGAGCTAAAGCCCCTAGCTTCACACAAGTTAAATTTCTCATCTTGTATTGCGATGTTTTTGACTGCCTATAATTCGTGAAAATGCACCAGTGATTTCACAAGTGATACAAATGACACAATACTGCGCGGACAGTTTTGCCTATATGCTCGTTTAATCCACAACTTGTTTACGAATTTTTTTTCAGTCTAGCTACAGAAAATAAATGTCAAAAGTGGCTACTAAACATTTTGATTTCAGTTTTTATTTGTCAATAAAATTGTTTTCACTAAATATAATTTTACAATTGCTTACGAACCAAGAAAACTACGAAGTCTGATGTTTATATTTCTCAAACAGCGGAAGAGTTATAGAACTTAAAAACATAGTTTTACATTTGGATTAATTTACTTCGTAAATCGTAATCATTAAAAATCATGTTTTTCATGTAGGAAATAACTTACAGAAATTAACCAAACTTACACCCCCCAAAAGACGGGAAATAACCTTTGAGGGATTAGAAATTTAGAAATTTCGCAGGAGGGGCATATCCCGTGAAGAGATGGCTACCACTAAGGTTGTCGAAAGGTCATTGAATATCAACACCAACAGTCCTTCTCAGGACTCTACTACTCTAAACGATCGACATCTACAAATATGATATGAGCAACCTCAAAGAAGAAATCGTAGATTGTTAACATGCACTTGCAAATTTCCTGTAAACAAACAACATTTGCAAAAGGACAACTACAGTGGATTGATAACACGGATACTTTTGCTATATTCTGACTAGTAAATTAGGTTTGAATCTTTTCTTAAATAAGCATAAAAAAGATTTTTATTTTCCATCTTACATGATTTGGTCACTGTATATTGGTCATTATGAAACAAAATTCAATCAATGTATTACGAGCAAAGAATGAATTCAATATTTTATTGATTCCAAAACATGATACAAATTTTAAAAATAAATTTGTGATAATGTAAGACCAACGATTGTCCTAGGCTAGTTGCTTGACGCTCTTGGCTCCTCCCGAAAATCCACCATACGCTTTGAAATTTGGAATTTTGTCACCTGGTTTTGCTTGGTGACTTCTGCCAGCATAATTGTGCTCTGAATAAACTCCCAAGAGCCCTTTGCGCCTGATAGATCAGCTGACAGAGCAGGGGGGGATAAATATCCTTCACTAGCTGTATAGATCTAAAAAGACATAACGAAAAATGCTCTACTGCTTTATGTTGACAACAATTTTGAAAGTAATAAATTTTGACCATTGTAGGTTATATGTAGGGCAAATTTTAATTACTCTGTTATGGGATGCATAAGAATAAATGTGTAAGTCTCGAAATGTACAGCAGTTAACATGTACAAGAAAAGAAACAAACGAAACGTGTCTGTGTACAAACTTTACAAAAATTCGTCAAAGTAAAGTCTTAATAATATAACGAATAAATTATCTAAATGAAATTATAAAACATTATTATATGGCGAGCGTCACTTCCGGCAAATGGAGCGTTTTGATTGACTCAGAAACATTTTTGTCCGTCCATTATTTTCCGTATTCGACTAGGGTGCAAAATCGCGTAATTTTACTGTCAAAACTAAACAAACTTCGTAATGCATACAGCAAAACGCAAAATAAACGAAACAAAAACCATTTACGAATGTTATTCGAAGGAAAACACTTGGAAAACAGTTTAACTATCCAGACGATACAATTTGAAACGATTTTGTTTTTTATGGACGAAAACAAGAAAAGTAAAAGCCAACTCGTACAAAACAGCAAGGACGAGAAAGAAAGCAAGCTTCGTTTCAGGTCAAATAATGCCATATAATCAGCCTTTTAATAATCTCCTTTCTCGGTCTTTACTAAGAAATGTCGGACTTTGTCTTTTGTACAAACCTCGCCCTACGGGCTCGGTCTGTACAAAAACACCTCGGTACGTTATTTCTCCGTAAAGACCTCGCGCTTGGTTATTAAGGGCTTAATAGTCATCTTTTTGATAAAAATCAAATGTTTGACCGCCACATGTTACAAAGTTAAAGTGCATTTTATTCATAATACGCTAAGATTTCAAAATGTGCCCGAAATGGAATAATTTCTAAGCTTTAAGTAACACGGATATGGACATAAGTTAGTGTTGTAATTGCACAAAATTTTGCAAAATCAAATTTCATTGCCTTGGCAATTTGTTTATGCAATGGCCTTTAAATTTTGTGGCTGAAGCGTACAATGTGTCCTTGTAATTTTCCACTGCAATTGTCCTGCAACATATTACATTATGTTACCAAGCCTTTACACAGGTTCCTCCAATGTTTCATGTCGTTATTGCGATAATCGGGAAAATGTTCATCAAGTAGAACTGCAAATTACTGTGAATACAAGTGACAACAAAGAAAAAAGAAGAGAAACAATTTATAAAAGAAACTACCATTTGACAAATAGCTGATTTTTTGTCGGCAATTAAATAAAGAGATGTAAAATTTTATCAAGATTTGCGGAAAAGATGTGGAAAAATCGCTCATTAACTAAAACAATTACCAAATGAATTTTCAAAAGCTGAGAGAATGATGTACATGCGTGCGCGTGTTCATAAGAATATAAACATGTCATTCCTTCTATTTGATGAAGTCTCATTTCGATTGTCTGAAATGTGTACGTATTTTAATTGCACGATGTAAAAGAAATTTCTTTCAAGTTTAGTCATTCAGCGAGAAAATATAGCTATATTGTAAATTTATTTAAATTCTGATTCTCCATATTTGTTTAGTAAAATGACACATATGTCTAGTCAAAGTTAAAAAGGAGAGGTTATGGCCACATATGTACATAGGGAAAAAGTCTACGTGATTTTCAAGTAAAACTTTTGTGAAATATCATGGCTTATTTAAATATGTCAAACCCGTCTTACTACGCATCATGCTTTGACCAATGACAATTCAATTTAATTTATGAGCAACCTTTACTTGTTTTTGTTCGAATATACATTTACATGTTCGTGATTCGACAAATTGCATTGTAATTTTTATGTCATTTTCCGATGTTTCAAAAACAAAAATTTTCCAACGTTAAAGCATACCTGTTCCGATCCACCATACTGTGTTTCAGGATAAACTATGATTTGATTGTCTCCCATGTTGTCTTCTTCTGCAAATGCAAAAATGAAAAGCATATAGTTATATAATAGTTATTATTAGCATTATTTAGTCCATTTTCTAGAGAGCTCAGAAAGAAAACACATCATTTGTTTGTTTGGCACCATGAGTTTACTTTGGTTTATATGTGATAGATTTGTTTTTTAAGGGAAAAGTAATTGGTTTGTTTGATTACCCACCAAAAAATAAACACATCTCTAAGTATGAAAGAATGAATTAGATAAATTGATCAAAAACGAAGATAGTTGCTTATTATATTTGCAATAGGATATAGAAATAACGACGTACTTTACAGAATTCTTCTTGATATTTCTTAGATAAAAGCTTCTTCGTTCCCAATGGATTGTTAGAGCACTATGAATGTTTCTGTGATGTGATCCTTTTTATAATCACCCGAGCAAAAATCGTGCGTGCAGTTCGATAAGCGGGCTGGGAGAGGTTTCAAGTATTATTTGAAGCAGCCAAGGTGACAAGGCTAAGCATTGTTATTAAATGAATAATTGTATTGTTATATTGGCTTTACAACAAAAAGTTGTTGTCGGTAACTGTCTAAAAATATCGTGAATAGAGTTAATATGTTCTTCAAGGTTGTTGGTTAAAACAAGCAGACATACATGACTTAATGTCTGATGATTAGCTAATGAGCAGAGAAAACTGCAACTATCTCACCGAGTCTTCGATTAGTTTATTTCTACAATGTTATTTGTTGAAGTGTACATATAAGGCTTCCAAGAACAAGTGAATTAATGACCCACTGCATACGTTCGCTTTTCCCTCATGTTACTCTTGCATACTTTTCTCAAGAAATCATGGATGTCCAGCTTAATAACCATTAATTCAATAAACTAAATTTGAGGTTGTTTATGACGTCGATCGTCTATTCTGTTCATTATGAGTACGCGCGTGTTTCTACTAATCCCACCAAGTCTTTGTCAATATTTCTGCTATGAAATTCACTCGTTTCAAGCAAGGGTAATTTCTTTAAAACTTATTCTCTTTATTACTGCAACAGTTTACGTGCAATTTTTATTTTTGTGCAAACAAAAATTTCGTATATTCATTAGTTTTCACAACGCTCGTGATGATAAATTGAAAGCGGAAATTTATTGTTTCGGTTCGTCTTACGTTCACAGTACGACGCACATATTGGCCACAAAAAGTACAATGCAAACGGAACTTTGTTAATTTGTTGTTTCCAGTGATACATTTTAAAACGCATATATTTTGTAATGAATGTAAGAAGAATCTCTTTTCCCTAAAACATTTTTCACACGCTACATCCTCTATGTACAACGTGTGATTTATTCCCGAAGTATTTTTTAGCTAGTATGGCGATGTTTTCTGTATTCTTGACAGTACATAATTTTTTCATTAGTCCAATACTATGAGTTAACTATTGTTTTACCTTAATGAAATATAATTTAGTCTCGCCGCATCAATTGAGAGAAGGAGAAATCCGCCTTGCTTTTAATGGTAACGAAAGAGAAGTTTGTAATAAACAATACAGCAAAAACTGGATGGTAAGGATTGAAATGCTTCTTATAGTTTGTACTTTGTAAGTAAACTATTTTGTTTCTTTCATGACTACTTTAAAGAATAGTATATCTACATCATGCATAGCCAGTAGCGGATCCAGCGTTAGTCAAACTAAATTATGGCTCCTTAATTTTGATTTCAAAGTACTTTCAGAAAAACACTATTGGTTTTGAATTTCTAAAGAATATAATTTTGTGTAGGCGGAAGACGTACAAGCAACAAAAAAGTTCCGTTCTAAAAATTTTAATCAACATTTTACAAACATTATGAAAGAACCAAATGTTTACCTTTACTTTTATCCTGTGTTAGCAATACAAGTCAAGTTGTATGTAAGTTTTTCTATTATATCTTCAATCAATAACTAATTCACAATCAAACTGTAAGATATAGTTGAAACTAGCAATATGTTTTGATATAGCAAACTGTCCTATTAAACTGATATATTATACTATTGTATTATGGTATTTCCAAAGAATCTCAACGGTTTTATTTACATGAAGCATGAACTTTTTTTACTACACATGATTTTTGTGTTTTGTCAGTAAAATTATTTTCGATTCATTTGTCTACATGCACAGTTTTAATCTGCTGATCATCAAATGAAAGAACTTGAACTGTGTTGTGTGTCAATATAAGTGCCAATATAACAATACAATTATTCATTTAATAACAATGCTTAGCCTTGTCACCTTGGCTTTGCTTCAAATAATACTTGGAAACCTCTCCCAGCCCGCTTATCGAACTGCACGTACGATTTTCGCTCGGGTGATTATAAAAAGGATCACATCACAGAAACATTCATAGTGCTCTAACAATCCATTGGGAACAAAGAAACTTTTATCTAAGAAATATCAAGAAGAATTATGTAAAGTACGTCGGATCGTGGTTAGCACTATTTTCCACCCAGCAAACCGCCCTTTACTTTACACAATCGGAAATAAATTTAAGATGGCGGCTAATGGGAAAGAACCAAAAGCTAAAAGGAAACCATGCATGCTCTGGTGCTAGGTCGTTTTGAGATCGCGAGTAATTTTATATTTTTATAATACAGTTTTTAATATCAACATATGAAAATATTTACAGATAAATATTACAGTTTAAATTTTCATGCAACCACCTTAAGTTATAAACTTATAATCCTGGCTGGAAAATATGTCGTTTTTCGACGATTGTGTAAAATATTATATAAAATATTATATTGTGTAAAATATTAGATTGTGTAAAATATTATATTGTGTAAAATATTATATTTCAAAGTAAAGGGCGGTTTGCTGGGTGGAAAATAGTGCTAACCTCGGATCGTGACTAAAACACCACACGAGTACATACGAGTACATACGAGTATATACGAGTGACATACGAGTACATACGAGTAACATACAAGTACATACGAATAACATACGAGTACATACGAGTGACATACGACTATTTTCTGGTCAACAAATGAGAAACAACACAATTTCTTCAATACATTGATATTTGCGTTTATTTTTCCTTGTATTTGTGTGGACTTTGGGGCAATCATTTGATGGATTTAAATGCTGAAAAGGTATTTTACTTTCATACTACATTCATTTGTATGTTTTAGTTGAATTTGTTATAGATATTTTGTCGATGCGATTTGGTTTAGGTAAATAGATTTTATTTTAAAAAGTGTAGGAAGTAAGATATTATCCGAGAGAAAATTGTACGTGCAGTTCGATAAGCGGGCTGGGAGAGGTTTCCAAGTTGAGTATTTGAGCGCTTTTTGACACATGTAAACGTTTTACATAAATGTTGATATTCAAGAAATAGCGTAAGATTTATTGTTTATAGCTATAGTTTTAATTCAGTTTAAATATGGTAATATTTTTTAGAAAACAAAGTTGATTTTCATCGTTGATTTTATTTTAAAAAGTGTAGGAAGTAAAAATTGCAAAACAGATCGTAGTGAGTATTTACAATGGCAAAACAGTTAACTATACTTAGCCATTCGGTGAAATTCGTGCATTTTGGATCCTTATCTATAAAGTAAATGGTTTGAAGCCGGGAGTATCGTTACATGTTTGTAAATGTAGATTGTCCAGATTGTTATAGTCCTGAGAAGGACTGTTTTTGTTGTTGTTGACTGACGTTTCGACAACCTTAGCGGTAGTCATCTTCAGAGTCAAAATGAATGTATAATCGCTTTCATAAATATGTACTTCCTAGGTGAAAGTGTGTCAAAAAGCGCTCAAATACTGGTAAATCGCATCGACAAAATATCTATAACAAATTCAACTAAAACATACAAATGAATTCGGTATGAAAGTAAAATACCTTTCAGTATTTAAATCCATCGAATGTTTGCCCCAAAGTCCACAAATACAAGGAAAATAAACGCAAAATAATGTATTGAAGAAATTGTGTTGTTTCTCATTTGTTGACCAGAAAATAGTCGTATGTCACTCGTATGTACTCGTATGTTACTCGTATGTACTTGTGTGTTACTCGTATGTACTCGTATGTCACTCGTATGTTACTCGTATGTACTCGTATGTACTCGTGTGGTGTTTTAGTCACGATCCGACGTACTTTACATAATTCTTCTTGGTATTTCTTAGATAAAAGTTTCTTGGTTCCCAATGGATTGTTAGAGCACTATGAATGTTTCTGTGATGTGATCCTTTTTATAATCACCCGAGCAAAAATCGGTTCCGAGAGGTTTCAAGTATTATTTGAAGCAAAGCCAAGGTGACAAGGCTAAGCATTGTTATTAAATGAATAATTGTATTGTTATTGGCTTTACAAAAAAGTTGTTGTCGGTAACGTCTAAAAATATCGAATAGAGTTAATATGTTCTTCAAGGTTGTTGGTTAAAACAAGCAGATATACATGACTTAATGTCTGATGATTAGCTAATGACAGAAAGCAACTATCTCACCGAGTCTTCGATTAGTTTATTTCTACAATGTTATTTGTTGAAGTGTACATATAAGGTTTCCAAGAACAAGTGAATTATGACCACTGCATACGTTCGCTTTTTCCTCATGTTATTTTGCATACTTTTTTCAAGAAATCATGGATGTCCAGCTTATAACCATTAATTCAATAAACTAAATTTAGGTTGTTTATGACGTCGATCGTCTATTCTGTTCATTATGAGAGTATGCGCGCTCACAAGTATTTGTCAATCATTTCTGCTATGAAATCACTCGTTTCAAGCGGTAATTTTAAAACTTATTCTCTTTATTACTGCAACAGTTTACGTGCAATTTTTATTTTTGTGCAAACAAAAATTTCGTATATTCATTAGTTTTCACAACGCTCGTGATGATAAATTGAAAGCGGAAATTTATTGTTTCGGTTCGTCTTCCGTTCACGACGCACATACAAAAAATGCAAACGGAACTTGTTAATTCGTTGTTTCCAGTGATACATTTTAAAACGCATATATTTTGTACGAATGTAAGAAGAATCTCTTTTCCTAAAACATTTTCACACGCTACATCCTCTATGTACAACGTGTGATTTATTCAAGTATTTTTAGCTAGTATGGCGATGTTTACTGTATTCTTGACAGTACATAATTTTTCATTAGTCCAATACTATGAGTTAACTATTGTTTTACTCAATGAAATATAATTTAGTCTCGCCGCATCAATTGAGAGAAGGAGAAATCCGCCTTGCTTTTAATGGTAACGAAAAGAAGTTTGTAATAAACAATACAGCAAAAACTGGATGGTAAGGATTGAAATGCTTATAGTTTGTACTTTGTAGTAAACTATTTTGTTTTCATGACTACTAAAGAATAGTATATTCATGCATAGCCAGTACGATCCAGCGTTAGTCAAATCTAAATTATGGCTCCTTTGATTTCAAAGCAATTTTCAGAAAAACACTATTGGTTTTGAATTTCTAAAGAATATAATTTTGTGTAGGCGGAAACGCAAGCAACAAAAAGTTCCGTTCTAAAATTTTAATCAACATTTTACAAACATTGAAAGAACCAAATGTTTACCTTTACTTTATCCTGTGTTAGCAATACAAGTCAAGTTGTATGTAAGTTTTCATTATACCTTCAATCAATAACTAATTCACAATCAAACTGTAAGATATAGTTGAAACTAGCAATATGTTTTGATATAGCAAACTGTCCTATTAAACTGATATATTATACTATTGTATTATGGTATTTCAAAGAATCTCAACGGTTTTATTTACATGAAGCATGAACTTTTTACTACACATGATTTTTGTTTTGTCAGTAAAATTATTTTCGATTCATTTGTCTACATGCACAGTTTTAATCTGCTGATCATCAAATGAAAGAACTTGAACTGTGTTGTGTGTCAATATAAGTGCCAATATAACAATACAATTATTCATTTAATAACAATGCTTAGCCTTGTCACCTTGGCTTTGCTTTAAATAAAATTCTAGAAAGAGATTAGTAAATATTAGAAAAAATACCAATAAAAAGTATTTAAGATACTATCAACAACATTGAATACGTTGCTTTTAACTTCTTAAAAAGACACCTCTAATCTTTCCTCATAATTAAAGATCAAAATATAATATCTTTCTAGAATAGTAAATCGACCAGTATTTGCCAAAGCAGTATTAAATCAACCGCTTATATTTAGCTGCTTGGGATTTAGATATTAAATTAGCAATACACACTCGATCAATTTTATTCTTTTTCACGATTGTTCAGTTCAATTCTCCAGACTTAATGTTTAGAATTGATAATACAAAATATAGTATAAAATGAATCCAGAAAAAAATTGCAACCCTAACAAAGCCATTAGAATACATGTTTTCATTCCTTTAATTTGTGTCTAATACTCTACCGAAAAACTATATTGTTAATCTAAAAATGAAAAATACTCGTTGTGCAAACGTTTCATTTTATTTTTACAACAAGAAATTCAATATCATTATCTATGTGGAGGAGTAACGTTTGATAACATGAGCAGAAAGTTCCATCCACTGAGTGCATCTGCGTCACTATTACTAGAGAATAAAAAAGGTCGCTATCTCAGCAATATTGAAATCATCGCATCGCTTCCAAGTGGCTTAATATATTTGCAATAGGATATAGAAATAACGACGTACTTTACATAATTCTTCTTGATATTTCTTAGATAAAAGTTTCTTCGTTCCCAATGGATTGTTAGAGCACTATGAATGTTTCTGTGATGTGATCCTTTTTATAATCACCCGAGCGAAAATCGTACGTGCAGTTCGATAAGCGGGCTGGGAGAGGTTTCCAAGTATTATTTAAAGCAAAGCCAAGGTGACAAGGCTAAGCATTGTTATTAAATGAATAATTGTATTGTTATATTGGCACTTATATTGACACACAACACAGTTCAAGTTCTTTCATTTGATGATCAGCAGATTAAAACTGTGCATGTAGACAAATGAATCGAAAATAATTTTACTGACAAAACACAAAAATCATGTGTAGTAAAAAAGTTCATGCTTCATGTAAATAAAACCGTTGAGATTCTTTGGAAATACCATAATACAATAGTATAATATATCAGTTTAATAGGACAGTTTGCTATATCAAAACATATTGCTAGTTTCAACTATATCTTACAGTTTGATTGTGAATTAGTTATTGATTGAAGATATAATAGAAAAACTTACATACAACTTGACTTGTATTGCTAACACAGGATAAAAGTAAAGGTAAACATTTGGTTCTTTCATAATGTTTGTAAAATGTTGATTAAAATTTTTAGAACGGAACTTTTTTGTTGCTTGTACGTCTTCCGCCTACACAAAATTATATTCTTTAGAAATTCAAAACCAATAGTGTTTTTCTGAAAGTACTTTGAAATCAAAATTAAGGAGCCATAATTTAGTTTGACTAACGCTGGATCCGCTACTGGCTATGCATGATGTAGATATACTATTCTTTAAAGTAGTCATGAAAGAAACAAAATAGTTTACTTACAAAGTACAAACTATAAGAAGCATTTCAATCCTTACCATCCAGTTTTTGCTGTATTGTTTATTACAAACTTCTCTTTCGTTACCATTAAAAGCAAGGCGGATTTCTCCTTCTCTCAATTGATGCGGCGAGACTAAATTATATTTCATTAAGGTAAAACAATAGTTAACTCATAGTATTGGACTAATGAAAAAATTATGTACTGTCAAGAATACAGAAAACATCGCCATACTAGCTAAAAAATACTTCGGGAATAAATCACACGTTGTACATAGAGGATGTAGCGTGTGAAAAATGTTTTAGGGAAAAGAGATTCTTCTTACACATTCGTACAAAATATATGCGTTTTTAAAATGTATCACTGGAAACAACAAATTAACAAAGTTCCGTTTGCATTGTACTTTTGTGGCCAATATGTGCGTCGTACTGTGAACGTAAGACGAACCGAAACAATAAATTTCCGCTTTCAATTTATCATCACGAGCGTTGTGAAAACTAATGAATATACGAAATTTTTGTTTGCACAAAAATAAAAATTGCACGTAAACTGTTGCAGTAATAAAGAGAATAAGTTTTAAAGAAATTACCCTTGCTTGAAACGAGTGAATTTCATAGCAGAAATATTGACAAAGACTTGGTGGGATTAGTAGAAACACGCGCGTACTCTCATAATGAACAGAATAGACGATCGACGTCATAAACAACCTCAAATTTAGTTTATTGAATTAATGGTTATTAAGCTGGACATCCATGATTTCTTGAGAAAAGTATGCAAGAGTAACATGAGGGAAAAGCGAACGTATGCAGTGGGTCATTAATTCACTTGTTCTTGGAAGCCTTATATGTACACTTCAACAAATAACATTGTAGAAATAAACTAATCGAAGACTCGGTGAGATAGTTGCAGTTTTCTCTGCTCATTAGCTAATCATCAGACATTAAGTCATGTATGTCTGCTTGTTTTAACCAACAACCTTGAAGAACATATTAACTCTATTCACGATATTTTTAGACAGTTACCGACAACAACTTTTTGTTGTAAAGCCAATATAACAATACAATTATTCATTTAATAACAATGCTTAGCCTTGTCACCTTGGCTTTGCTTCAAATAATACTTGGAAACCTCTCCCAGCCCGCTTATCGAACTGCACGCACGATTTTTGCTCGGGTGATTATAAAAAGGATCACATCACAGAAACATTCATAGTGCTCTAACAATCCATTGGGAACGAAGAAGCTTTTATCTAAGAAATATCAAGAAGAATTCTGTAAAGTACGTCGTTATTTCTATATCCTATTGCAAATATAATAAGCAACTATCTTCGTTTTTGATCAATTTATCTAATTCATTCTTTCATACTTAGAGATGTGTTTATTTTTTGGTGGGTAATCAAACAAACCAATTACTTTTCCCTTAAAAAACAAATCTATCACATATAAACCAAAGTAAACTCATGGTGCCAAACAAACAAATGATGTGTTTTCTTTCTGAGCTCTCTAGAAAATGGACTAAATAATGCTAATAATAACTATTATATAACTATATGCTTTTCATTTTTGCATTTGCAGAAGAAGACAACATGGGAGACAATCAAATCATAGTTTATCCTGAAACACAGTATGGTGGATCGGAACAGGTATGCTTTAACGTTGGAAAATTTTGTTTTGAAACATCGGAAAATGACACATAAAATTACAATGCAATTTGTCGAATCACGAACATGTAAATGTATATTCGAACAAAAACAAGTAAAGGTTGCTCATAAATTAAATTGAATTGTCATTGGTCAAAGCATGATGCGTAGTAAGACGGGTTTGACATATTTAAATAAGCCATGATATTTCACAAAAGTTTTACTTGAAAATCACGTAGACTTTTTCCCTATGTACATATGTGGCCATAACCTCTCCTTTTTAACTTTGACTAGACATATGTGTCATTTTACTAAACAAATATGGAGAATCAGAATTTAAATAAATTTACAATATAGCTATATTTTCTCGCTGAATGACTAAACTTGAAAGAAATTTCTTTTACATCGTGCAATTAAAATACGTACACATTTCAGACAATCGAAATGAGACTTCATCAAATAGAAGGAATGACATGTTTATATTCTTATGAACACGCGCACGCATGTACATCATTCTCTCAGCTTTTGAAAATTCATTTGGTAATTGTTTTAGTTAATGAGCGATTTTTCCACATCTTTTCCGCAAATCTTGATAAAAATTTTACATCTCTTTATTTAATTGCCGACAAAAAATCAGCTATTTGTCAAATGGTAGTTTCTTTTATAAATTGTTTCTCTTCTTTTTTCTTTGTTGTCACTTGTATTCACAGTAATTTGCAGTTCTACTTGATGAACATTTTCCCGATTATCGCAATAACGACATGAAACATTGGAGGAACCTGTGTAAAGGCTTGGTAACATAATGTAATATGTTGCAGGACAATTGCAGTGGAAAATTACAAGGACACATTGTACGCTTCAGCCACAAAATTTAAAGGCCATTGCATAAACAAATTGCCAAGGCAATGAAATTTGATTTTGCAAAATTTTGTGCAATTACAACACTAACTTATGTCCATATCCGTGTTACTTAAAGCTTAGAAATTATTCCATTTCGGGCACATTTTGTGAAATCTTAGCGTATTATGAATAAAATGCACTTTAACTTTGTAACATGTGGCGGTCAAACATTTGATTTTTATCAAAAAGATGACTATTAAGCCCTTAATAACCAAGCGCGAGGTCTTTACGGAGAAATAACGTACCGAGGTGTTTTTGTACAGACCGAGCCCGTAGGGCGAGGTTTGTACAAAAAGACAGAGGTCCGACATTTCTTAGTAAAGACCGAGAAAGCGAGGTTATTAAAAGGCTGATTATATGGCATTATTTGACCTGAAACGAAGCTTGCTTTCTTTCTCGTCCTTGCTGTTTTGTACGAGTTGGCTTTTACTTTTCTTGTTTTCGTCCATAAAAAACAAAATCGTTTCAAATTGTATCGTCTGGATAGTTAAACTGTTTTCCAAGTGTTTTTCCTTCGAATAACATTCGTAAATGGTTTTTTTTTGTTTCGTTTATTTTGCGTTTTGCTGTATGCATTACGAAGTTTGTTTAGTTTTGACAGTAAAATTACGCGATTTTGCACCCTAGTCGAATACGGGAAAATAATGGACGGACAAAAATGTTTCTGAGTCAATCAAAACGCTCCATTTTGCCGGAAGTGACGCTCGCCATATAATAATGTTTTATAATTTCATTTAGATAATTTATTCGTTATATTATTAAGACTTTACTTTGACGAATTTTTTGTAAAGTTTGTACACAAGACACGTTTCGTTTGTTTCTTTTCTTGTACATGTTAACTGCTGTACATTTCGAGACTTACACATTTACTCTTATGCATCCCATAACAGAGTAATTAAAAATTTGCCCTACATATAACCTACAATGGTCAAAATTTATTACTTTCAAAATTGTTGTCAACATAAAGCAGTAGAGCATTTTTCGTTATGTCTTTTTAGATCTATACAGCTAGTGAAGGATATTTATCCCCCCCTGCTCTGTCAGCTGATCTATCAGGCGCAAAGGGCTCTTGGGAGTTTTATTCAGAGCACAATTATGCTGGCAGAAGTCACCAAGCAAAACCAGGTGACAAAATTCCAAATTTCAAAGCGTATGGTGGATTTTCGGGAGGAGCCAAGAGCGTCAAGCAACTAGCCTAGGACAATCGTTGGTCTTACATTATCACAAATTTATTTTTAAAATTTGTATCATGTTTTGGAATCAATAAAATATTGAATTCATTCTTTGCTCGTAATACATTGATTGAATTTTGTTTCATAATGACCAATATACAGTGACCAAATCATGTAAGATGGAAAATAAAAATCTTTTTTATGCTTATTTAAGAAAAGATTCAAACCTAATTTACTAGTCAGAATATAGCAAAAGTATCCGTGTTATCAATCCACTGTAGTTGTCCTTTTGCAAATGTTGTTTGTTTACAGGAAATTTGCAAGTGCATGTTAACAATCTACGATTTCTTCTTTGAGGTTGCTCATATCATATTTGTAGATGTCGATCGTTTAGAGTAGTAGAGTCCTGAGAAGGACTGTTGGTGTTGATATTCAATGACCTTTCGACAACCTTAGTGGTAGCCATCTCTTCACGGGATATGCCCCCTCCTGCGAAATTTCTAAATTTCTAATCCCTCAAAGGTTATTTCCCGTCTTTTGGGGGGTGTAAGTTTGGTTAATTTCTGTAAGTTATTTCCTACATGAAAAACATGATTTTTAATGATTACGATTTACGAAGTAAATTAATCCAAATGTAAAACTATGTTTTTTAAGTTCTATAACTCTTCCGCTGTTTGAGAAATATAAACATCAGACTTCGTAGTTTTCTTGGTTCGTAAGCAATTGTAAAATTATATTTAGTGAAAACAATTTTATTGACAAATAAAACTGAAATCAAAATGTTTAGTAGCCACTTTTGACATTTATTTTCTGTAGCTAGACTGAAAAAAAATTCGTAAACAAGTTGTGGATTAAACGAGCATATAGGCAAAACTGTCCGCGCAGTATTGTGTCATTTGTATCACTTGTGAAATCACTGGTGCATTTTCACGAATTATAGGCAGTCAAAAACATCGCAATACAAGATGAGAAATTTAACTTGTGTGAAGCTAGGGGCTTTAGCTCGTAAATTTTGTAATGGGGAGCTTATCCCCCTGAAAATGTTGATTAACATTGCCAAAATGTTGCCTAATACATCCTTATTCGCCGTAACTTTTCCTCGTTCTAAATGATTTACTATCACGCAGATTACAGGAACTCCAAGAACAAAGAAGAATATGATTTAAATTGACTAGAAGGATAACAATCAATTCTTTCAGATTTATTGGAAGACCGTTAACAAGTAAAAGTTACGTTAAAATCAAATTCCAAGTATGTATATAAAACTTGAATTACCACAATTTGTGATATACGAACACTTCCGTCTTTTTCAATGTTTAATAAAGTTCATAAACGTCTTTACACCCTTTCAAGAATACCACTGACGTAGTCTCATTCTTTACTCTTCAGGGAAAAAAACGTACATTCGCGTTACCATTGAGCAAAATCGTCTTCACCACTTTGTCATAATCCATACGCATGCACAAGTCAGCAAACGCAGACAGATCGAGATCGTATGAGTCTCACTGATTTTAAAATAGAATACGTAGCTTGCAATGAGCACCATTAATTGCTCTGGTTAAGTGGTGATTAGTTTAAATTGAATTCTTCGTTTTGTATAATAACTCGGTTTAGTTGCATCTGCATTAAATCTACTGTGTAATAATAATAATAATAATAATAAGGACTTTATTTGAAGAGGGGGACACGTAACAGCTGAAAAGCTGACAAACCTGTGGCCCTCTAACTAGATTATACAGCATTACAAAAACTGATAAATGAATAAATATATAAATAATTACAAAATTCTATGATAAAAATAGCAGGACACATAAAAAATATTCAGAAAGATAAAATTAATTTATAAAAAATTAAAATTAAAATTAGGTAGTGTGCTATTGCTTAATATTGTTTCAAAGTTGTCCAGGTTTTTATATGAGCTTATAAAATGCTTTTTCACAGCTGTTTTGAATAGATTTATACTAGGCTTTTTTGATATCATGGGGAAGGCTGTTCCATAACTTAACTGCGTCAACACTGAATGCCTTGCCACCATCGTTATTTCTTAGGTATTTGGGACACACTAAATTTAAATCGCCATGTCTCGTGGACCTATTGTGAACAGAACTGTTCGTCTTGAACAAATCTTTGATATAAATAGGAACATCGCATTTGAGGCTCTTAAAAATCATGGCACATTTGTTTAGTTTTATTTCGTCAAAAAAAGGCAACCAGCCTAGTTTACTAAAGTTTACAACACTTCTAGAATAAGGGTCTACTCCAAGAATTACTCGGGCAGCCCTTTTCTGTAACCTTAGGAGACAGTGGAGTTCTTTAACGTCGCAGGTATTCCAAACCATGCTCCCGTACATAAGGACGGGTTTAATCAAAGCGTTGTAGTATAAAAGTCTTTCTTTTATTGGAAGGTATCTCTTTATCTTTTTCAATAAACCAATACGCAGAGAAAGCTTGGCCTTTAGGCTAGAAATGTGGTCACTAAATGTAAGATCTTGATCGAGTGTTACACCAAGCAATTTATAAGAGGTTACTTGTTCTATTTCAGCCCCATCAAGGGTTACTGACAGGTGATTGCCATCAACTAATGATGAATGTAGCCTCTTTCCGGTGATAAGTAATGCTTTGGTTTTAACAGCGTTTAGGACCATCCCATTTTCGCTAGACCATTTACTTAATTTATCCATGTATTCTTGAAGACGTCGTTCCAATTCCAAAGGTGCATTATCGATATTAGCGCTGGCTTTAAATGTGGTGTCATCCGCGTAAGCATGAATAGTGTGTATTGTAATTGTCATAATTGGAGCACATTGGACATCCAATTACACGCTTGGACTTATCAATAGTGGTTTAGAATGTTCATTAACATTAAGGAGCAATCAAGAGCACTTGAACACAATCAATAGGGTTAAATAAACCGTCATAACAATTAGAAATATTCAAGTAGAGCATTAACGTGAAGTGCGGTGATGCGGTTGCCAAAGATTATTTCTTTTGGGAAAGACGTTTACCGTAAAAAGTTATGCATATATACATAAATTATTTATTATTCCACACTGTAAATAATATAAATTATTTACAGTGTGGAATATATAAGTAAATATAAAAGTATATGTAAATAATTTATCCATAGTCTAGTGTCTATGCCTTTTTCAGTGTTTATGTTGTACAAAGACTAAGACGCGGTTACGAGGAATCGAATAACTGAGTCGTCTAATCAAGACACTGTGAGTTCATCACTGTTTCTAAAATTACTTGCCTACTTTATATTCTCTACTTTAACAGACACTTGCATGCAACACCACAGTATTGCTCACTTTAATATACACACTTGCCACGAATCAAGCGATGAACAATAAGCGCATTCACAATTCCATCGACCAAGAATACCAGCTGCACATACATTTAAATGGTTTAGAGCAAGAAGCAGAGTGGAAAAAAGGACCTACCAATGGCGGTCTTTTTGTTAGTGCCGGTGCCTATAAACAAGTAAGTGCAAATATCCAGTACGCACCTCATATTTCCGGGAGAGGGGGAGGGGTTAAAGGGCAAGATTTTCTGTGACACCGGGAGTGACAACTTCAATAGACACTGGTTGGTTCAATATGTAAACTGTGTCATTGATTATACAACAATATTGAAAACACTAATTCGTGATATTTACAAAAAAGAAAACGTATATATTATGTGATAAAATGATAATATACAAAATTAGATTCCCAGTTTTAAAATAAGAATCATCTTGTTATATGGCACAACTATATAATTTTATGCAAGATTGATATGATACTTCATGTAATCCACATTAAGTGGCTGACACGCAGCAACGTCAAAATACATTACAACAGGTCACTTGATACAAAACAAAATTTCAAAGAAACCTCGCAACATCATTGATAAGATGTTTTGCTTTTAAAAATCATAACTGAGAGCATCTTAATGAAAGCCGTTAGAGCTGCGGTAATATATTTTACTTAATGGTGGATTCCTGGCTTATTGTCCAAAGTTAAATATTAAATAATTGTTAATAATATAGTGACGTCATCAGTTTGTATTGCTACTTGGTATCTACTGGACGGTTCTTGTTGCTAGCATAAAAAAAGTGTGAATTGTCAATCATGAAAGCATCAGAACTGGAAACGTCAAGCGATACGAAAAATTACTTTCTTTAAAATGAACATCAAATCGTACTTATGTCTGTATAGATGATTACAGAATAACAGAATAAGATGTAAGTGACAAAACGGAACAATGTTATCGGATAATTTGTTAGAGAAATTTTCACGGTAGTCATACATTGCTATTGCATATTTTAGTAACAGCTTTTAGCAAATTCCACAGCAATTTGACATTATAACTAACAGAGCAGGGGGTTTAACTGCTTACGGTCGACTATCTTTTGTTGTTATTTTTACTTGTGACGTTAAACAAGCAGCACTGTTGCAAAGAAAAAATCAGAAATCTTATTCTGAAAGTAACGGAGTGAAAGTAACGTCTCCAAGCAGTTATGCGGTGATTTCAAAGCACCACTCAGTGAGTGCAAGTTTGAACGTGAATAAGCTGTTAAATAACAGAGTTTTCTTCAGATGGTACTATTAAACAACGTGTTCTCATATGAATCTCAGTAGAAAAAGCGGAAATGTTAAAACTTACAATTTACTTGTCAACATTAACTGCAGTTTTGTTAGTCACAGTATTGTCGAAGAGCTTCGTCCTAAATATAAATTTATGTCATCAAGAGGCACTCCTCATAAGCTATGGAATGGATGAAGCAACTTCCACTTACGAAGCCTCGTTTTCCTGGCGGCGCTTCCTTAGCCAAAGGAACATACACAAGATGAAAACGAGCAAAATTAAAATTCCAAAGACAACACCAATAATTTCTGCAGCATTTCCTTTGCTGATTTTCCAACGAGGTTTCTTGGCTGAAAAAACAGAAAATAAATCTCTGAAAAGTCGTCGAACGTCTTTATCATTAATAAGATTGTATATTTTAATACGTATCCAAAGAAAAATAAGTATTACACACAGTAGGTAAGGTTTCGCAGATAAAAGTAGAAATCATAAGAAATCAGGCTTCTGAAAATAATATAGCTTGAAAAAACACCATATTTCATGAGCTTTACTTGAGAATACTATAACACCCTTTACTATAAATAGGGAACATCAATGGCGTATATCAATTTCCGGGCGCTTACGAAAATACAAGTAGTCGTAACAAATCACTATACTTTGTTGTTATCTGAACGTATAAAATATTGGGCTTCGTAAATTTTAAACTTACTACCAAACCAAATAACACAACAGTTAAGCTCACCACAACTACTAGCAAACTCTTTTAGTCCATTGCGATTGTCGTTCACCACATTACCAAAAGCTTGATGCAAATCAGATTCTGTATCATCTAACACATAAAATAAAATATTTCAAGCGTTCAAATTAGGAGCGACACTTGTCACATACGTGTGACCACGAAAGCATTTCTTTATATCTAAGACAACTTTTAAGCATTTTTCCTGATTTCGTCCCTCTTCTGCGATAACTTAACAAAATTTTGAGGGTTCGGTAGTTTTTTCCCAAAACAAACATATGAATTATTTTGGTAAAGTCAAAACGGTTTACGATGCGTTAAAAAACAATACAAATTTGTAAACTGTTAACGGAGAGGCTTTACACAGGAAGAAAAATATTCACAATAAAACACAATAAAACGCGGAAAACACGAGAACGAGTAAAAAAGCTTCATCAGCCAAGTCTCAGCGAAGTAGAGACTTGCAAGCGTTCGAGTAGTCATTTCGAGTTTGCAAAACTCTACAACAACGACACAGAGAAAATCTTCTAACATGCTTTTACACTTACCAATCAAGACAAAATGATATGTTAAGCAACTGCTGTCTCCTTCTGTCGGCTCATATTTCACATCAGCAACTCTCCAAGTATCGATCTTCAAAACAGCCGCAACCACATTTTGAAAGCTCTCGGTATTCCTAAAACATAACAGAACAACGAATTTGATGTTTGCATTGCGTTTTCATAATACGGACAGAATAACAAAACTACCAATACATAACAAATGCAATCGACGCGAATAATATGACGCCGCATTTCGTACATTGTATTTATGATAGTATATATTATTATTTAGCTACTGTTCATATAGAAAAATGTGCTTCTAACGTCAAACTTCTCCCCCGGTACATATATAGTATAATAAATCGTTTACAAGATGTTTACGACATCTTGTTTGCTATTACAGATTGTTAGCTTTTTATTGTTTTGCTCTTAGCATTCACGCGCTGGCGAAACTTGCTTTACTTTCAACATCACCCATCGATATAAACGGCATTTACAGCATAGATTAAACGAACTTTTAAATAAATGAAAAAAATATCTACCTTGCTGCCTTTGAATTCTTCACCAACAAGGACTCCACCGTAAAACCACTTCCAGGCATGACGTCACTACAAGCCTGACGGGAGCCCTTATTGGGCGCATGAACCACAAGCGCTCTACCAATGACTAAGAATTAAGAAATATAATTGTTGTGAGGCAAAACTTGACTTCAGCTTCATTTCAACAATTACTTTTAATTCCCATGATTATGATACGAAATTTCTGCAAGCTAAAATACATTTACATTTCAGGGGCTGCGGAATTTGTTAATTCATAACCACAATAGAAGCTACCAAGGTAGAACATGCATATATGAATATCCCCCCCTTCCCCCATTATCGAGCTTGCACGGCCTCTGCATTTAACAGAACTTTAAAATGACAGCACACTTTATAAAGCAATTCATGCTCAACTGCTTACGTAATTTCAGATATTAAAATTTTTTAATGTCTAATACACGAAACCAATGGCGATATATTGCACGAGCCCAAAATTTCAAATATCCTTCCGTTTCTCGCTGCTTTTACACTTTTACGTAGAATTTTCCACCCTTAACTTTTCACAACGTAGGGACCAGTCAAAGTTTCATAACAGCGAATATGTCTTATAATTCCACTATTCTTATTGCAATATGACGTCACGGTTGTGTGAGTTGGACACTACACAAATGTGAATATCTCGAGAATGAAAAAAGATACGAATGAACCTTTTAGAAATTCCACCACACTTGAGTGAGAGTATAAAGCATTTTTCCTTCATCATACAGTAACTCATGCCGTTATTATGGATCTCAACCCTCCAGACTTTCACTGTATTAAATGCATAAGTATAACACATACGACTTACTATTATGCCAACTTGCAAAATAGTTTTCCGTTTCAGTAAAATGTTTCAATCCACCACCAACATCGTATGTTCCAAGTTTACTCGAAACATCACCTAGTTCACAGCGGAAATGATTGCCAGGGTTACATGTGGTTGCATAATCGTTCTCCTGTAAAATAAATCGTTAGTTATGCGTGTTACATTACAAGTTCTGCCATCTGATTAGCTATGCTTGCATTCAGCTATGTTTGTAATTGCAGAGTCGTGATCGATACGCGAAACTCGAGTAGCTTTTCTTGTAAAACAGCAGCTTTAGTATTTTTGGGCGAATGAACATGTCGTTCTCACCATGTAATACCATTATCTAATTGTTCGTTTGAGATGAACATTTCGGACTTCCGGTATTTAAATGTACATATTAAAATGACCATTGAGGTTCGTGCATTATCTAATTATTCTAATTATCATTAATAATATTATTATTATCATCTAATTGTCAACTTGTGATGGACATACCGGGAAATAGACGTTGTATGGATTGTAATGACCAAGGCAGCTCATACATTTCTTGCCAATCTTCATGTTGCTATCATTTCCAACGGCAGCTATATGGATATGCCAATTATGATGTTTTGTCTAACAATGCAGACAAAGAATATAAGCTAGGTAAACTGTAGCGAATATCTTCGCAACACAGAATATGACATAGGTGAATTAAGAATCCTCAAGGATTCAAGGCTCACATCCCGTATAATTACAATGATAAAAATGTAAAACTTACAATTTTGGTATCATTATTGTAGCTAAGTGACATCACAATTGACGCTGAGTAAGCAAAAGCTTTCACTTCATTCATAAGGGCTTGTTCCTGAAAGAAATATAAACAAATAAGTTCATGGTCTTTTCACCTAGCAACATCTCCACGGCTAACTAGGCAGTACCTTCCCGGTACACTGGAGAAGTACTTTTCCGGTAACCTAAATTGGTACACTTTCATCATTATAAAATGGTATTGTGATGGTACTCTCAAAATCGGTAACCAAATAATACTTTTTTAGCAACCTACGATATCACTTACAAGAACTTTTCATTGGCTAAATATCTTTTTCTTTTACTTATGAATGACGTGGCTACGCAATCGCCGATATTGGTTTCGTGAACTGTTCGGCTTTATGAGAATTGTGAAGACAACTTTTAAAAAAGATAAATATTGCCGCCAGTGCTCTCGTGTGTTCTGTTTGGTTGTACTTGTAAAGAGAGAAAATTTACTTGTATTAGTCGACAGATATCAGTTGAAATGGTATAAATTGGCTTGAAATGCCTTTATAAAAAACAACGAAAGCCAGCAGTAGTTACATTTTTACAAGACTGCACATGAACGATGAAGACAGTCGTGGCAAATAATTTGCAAGGAGGAAAAATATTACGTTTATATTAGTAGAATCATACTAGTATGCGTATTCGATGGCAAATGCTTTAATTTGATTGATTACGTTACTGGCTATCTATTTTTCAATATATATTAGATATAGCAAGTGGCGACCAACACAACTTTTTTCTTTATGAATAGTAGCATGACTTTACTAAAACAATTAAATTACTCGCTCTTGACTTCCATAGTGCGATAGTTGATCAGTTAGAGCTTCGTCATCATGAACTACTGTATCACCTCATAGAAATCTCGAATAATCTAATTGTTAAATATAGTAACGCTAAGACTTCAAGATATTCTTTTGGTCGAGAGCCCTCTTTAAGAGGAGGGACGTACGCAATGACGTCACAGAAAAACTCTTTTTTTTGAATAACAAACAAATGGAGGATGAATCATTTGAATATTTACCTGAATTTATTCCTGGCTGGGCAAGAATCAAAACCTAGTTGAGGCAGTTAACGCATTTAAACCGGTTCGCTAACGTCTATTTAACAATTATATAATAACCAGAATTTGAGCAATTTCATTGGTCGAGCGCTATGATCATACGCACAGACATGACGTCACAGCAAGATTCATGTTTATAAAAACAAAGAAATGGTGGATATATTTGAAAATTTATCGCAACACCACCCTGAATGGGAAAATAAAGATATTCACAAAGACCTAGTTGAGGCAGTTAACGTATTTGTGCAAAAAGAAAAGAAAAAACCCGGTTTTCAAACATTACTTTGTACTTCCGTCTTTGATAACAAACATTCAACAATATTGATCAGCCATTGCTTGTTTATGTTGCTGGACAATCACATTTTATCACGTGATTAAGTTAGCCAATAGCATTTCTTCAATTCTATAGATCACGTAAGCGTGATATTTGCAAACTCAAGACTTTTCAATGTTCCAATGTTCCAAGGGACAAAGAAAACAAACTGTTTGACCGTTTAATTTGGCAATATTTTTGATTTTATTATATAAAACAAATAGATAACATTTAACCGTTGTCTATACAATTATAGATACAGGGGTATGACGTCAATTGTGATAAAAACTAAAAAAGTGACCACGAGCCGCCGGGGCGAGTATAGACAACTGTATAGACAACGGTTAAATGTTACCTATTTCTTAAATAGATAACATTCAACAGTTATAGATACACGGGTATGACGTCATTGTGATAAAAACTAAAAAAGTGACCACGAGCCGCCGGGGAGAATTGATTAACAATTTGTTAAAAAATTAAATCAATATAAAAAACATATGCTCGTGCTTCGCGCCCCAAAATGTTTCATAATTATTTTTTAAATAAAATCTATTACGCCATAACTTTTAACAAAGCCATTTATACAATATTTATACAATAGGCATTAGCTACGTCGTTATTGTTTAAAACACTTACGAAATTAACAGATCCCACAATGCCGTTTATCGATGTCTCGTTGAAAATTGTTTTGGCTTTCAAAAGATACTTCGGATTCTTTGGTAACAATTGTTTACAAATCATTTTCTTTGATAAAACATTTTCACTGATCACCAAACCTCGGAAAAGCATGCTATGTCGTCCATATAAAGTGAGTTCGTCTACTGGTTCTGACTCTAAACCAAACAGATATCATTTGTACCAATAAAATTAAAGGATATTTGATTTTGGAACTAAGTTATTTTATGGTTTAGTTTTTCAGCGATATAAATCTATCCTTGTCCTTACTCATGCCTGACGTTTTTATTTTGAGTTATCTGATTTTAAAATTCAATTCCTTATGTACACCCTAGTCTCCTATATTCATCAGGAGTGATCTGATGTCAAAACTTTATATCTTACGTACTCTAGTCTACAGTGGCATAGGAACAGGAAGAACGGGGGCTTGTACCCAAAACTTTTAAATTTTATATAAAAAAGTGCCGTTTTTCTACATGAAAAGTGCTCTTGTTTTACTAAATAAGTGTCGTTTTTCAATGAAAAATTGCCCCAAAGAATATTGAGCCCTCCAACTTTCACTTCCTTCCTACACCACTGCTAGCCTAGTGTCTTCATTTGAGGTTAACTGATATTGAAACATGAGTCCATTCTATCCTACAGTGTCTTCATTTGGAGTGATCTAATTAGCTTTATTCCTAATAAACTCTAGTCAACTTAAGCTTTCTTGATTATATGATAAAACTTGTATAAATTTACTCACCTTCATTAGAAAAAGATATGATCTTATCTCCCAGTTTACTTTTGTCACATGCAGGAGGAGTAGGTGCAAGTTCATAAACAGATACGTCATCATACTCATTACCCAAGCTCACATTTACCGTTGGAGGTGAATAAAATGATCCCTGATTGAACCTTACGATCCCAGCTTCTCCTAAAGTTACTTCTGTGATCATTTCCTGGAATTGTTGAAGTTTGGCACAAATTAGTAGTTGGCCATTCTGCATTATCACAAGCGAGTTACCCATAACCGAGTTCTCTCCAGAAAGTGGTAGATTAGAATCAATAAAGAATTGGTATTGGTTCTTGCCTCTTGGTAATGGCACATCTAAGTAGCCAAGTTTTCCACTCAAGTCACCTATGGCACATGTGCTATGTCTTCTTTGATCACATGATGTTTTGCCAAAAGGGTTGAACATATTTTTTAGACCTTTACAGGAACCTTCTACTTTACTAGAGGTAGTACTAACGTAAACACCAAAAGACAGTCCACTTAAAGGTTCACTTCTCGGATCAACAAGTTGCAAGTTAATGTCAACCATTGTGTCTGCAGCAGGGTTACTTGCTGGTTGACCCAAAACAATTGTCTCAGCAATTCCATTTAAAGTGGATTGGAAAAAACCAACCAAAAATAATGAATGAGATTTTTTTGACTTTATTGTTGAGCATGCCAAAATATTGTCATTTTCGTCATGTATGGCTATGCTTCGGCCAAATATACTGTTTTTTCCTGAAACCATGACTTTAGGATTCTTAGACAAATCATCGAAATAACATCTAGATATATTTTCAGGACAGTTCTCAGGATAAAATATATCACCGATGTTGTTTGTGCTACAGCTTTCATTTGGCAGGCCCTCATACTTTACAGGAAACTTATGTATGGCAATCTTTGAGCCTGGAGAAATGGTTAGGTTTTTGAAAGAAATGGTAACATTTTCCATGTCTTCTTGTGTAAACAATATAGAACCTCTTATTTTCCTTCCATTGAACTCAGCAACAAGTTGCACTTTCTCATTCTCCTTTTTCAATGCAGCTAAAAAAGATAATTTTATTAAATGAATCCATACAAAAGGTCAGTGATGTAAGCCTTCACACAAAAAAGAGCACCCTCGAGACCCATTAAATATAAGCCCTCTAGCCTTACCCCCCAACCCACACCACACCACCACCAAAGCTCCCCATCCACATAAATAAGTTCATTACATATGTCCACACTAATTTAATAGACACCAATCCCAGTATTTCATAAGATAATCATAAAAATCCTGAAAAAAAGCATTGAGTACATATTATGGCAAGCCAAACGTGACAATAGTGTATTGAGAATTAAAACCGCTAGTCGAGAATATCAAGCGATGGTCGAGAATATTAAGCGATGGTCGAGAATATTAGGCGATGGTCGAGATTTACAACAGTAACAATGGTCAGCGGACTTAGGGCTAAACTTCATGATTTATTTCATATTTATATATCGAATTGATTATTCTGAAATAACTAAAATGGCGGAAAATAGAAATACAAACATTATAGATCGAATTCTGGAAAATTTAAACGAACTTTCTTCAAAAATTTCGCCCCAAACAAGTGCTGAAACAGAGGCAGAAGTAAGTCACATTTTCAATTCTAATACAACTAGACGGCTGTCTACATCAGTTGTACCAACTACGAACACTACCGAACAAAATGTGCCGAGGAGGAGTTTCGTCACGAGGCGAAATTTTAATACACAGTGCCCATCTGCTTCTAATCGAAGACAGATTAGGGAATCTAAAAGAAGGCCTGGTGCTATAGATAATAGACCATTCTTACGCGACCTTATTTTGCTGGGAGGACCGAATGCTTCTGTCGTTCCTCGTCAAGGAGCACGCCTTGCTCTTATGGAACGGGGTCACATGATCTCAGGCTGCAGATTCACCAAGGCAATGAACGCTGCACAAGTGGAAATTGCCATAATGGAAGCTTTTGCTAACAAAATTCCAGCTGGTGTTGATATCGAAATATTAATGTCGATGCACACATCTTTTGTTGTGCCATCTTTGGCTCATGGTCAGATTGGCATTGATGGAGCAATTTTGCAACGGCTCTTTCAGAGTAAACCGGTGTATGTGCGACCAAACAAACAGATCATAATTGAGCATCAGGTATGAGTTTCTGTTGTCCTCCTATCAATGGAACTTGTTCAGTTTATTCATGGTTTAACAGCTGCATCAGCTGTTTTACTTGCACAGGTGTATGTTGATGCACCATTTTCATGCTCTTGATTGGGAAAATGAAATAATTGACGTTATTATACTCATATATAAATTAAATATGCTGTCAATGTAGGAAAATGTGTGCACAAGAAAAAGTCATGATGGTAGGTCATTCTCTTTAATGGAGAAATTTAATTAAATACACATGACAGAAATAGTTTGTGAAGTCCCTCTTATATTTTTAATAAAGATTTACCTGATATGTTTGGTGATGTGCAAATGTCAATAAGATCTACCGATGCCAATCAAGAGCCATTGGCTTTGCCTAAAGATACAGCACTTTCACTGGCTCAAGCAGTGTGCGAATTAGTTCAGAAAAAACGATGTGCAATTTTTTTGACAAAAGTGTTTCTTTACAGGCATAATCAAATCGATATTACGTTAATTATTACATAGCGCTAATTGCTAAATTAATATTTTTAAACGTTAACAAATTCATATGATTTACGATAGTGTTTTTCGTTAAAACCGCTGATTTTTGCACATCGTTTAAAAAAGTGATGTGCAATTGTTCTCATTTTAGCTAAAACGATGTGCAAATTGCCCATTGCACACCGTTAATTCGCACACTGGCCTCAAGAGACAGCACAAGCTTCTTTACAGTCAACCACTGATCTTCATGCAGTTGGTGTACAGGATACATCAGGTTAGTTGCATTAAACATTATGCTGCTACTATTTTCATTGATGAATCACTACAATTTTTTAATGGACAAAAAAGTGCTTGCCATAAAAAAATACATGTTTACTTAAGGACACGTGTAGATGATCTGATTGAAAACTGATTTATTTTAGTCTGTGCTTAACTGTTAGATTTAGAAGCAATTTATTCTGTGTGGTAATAAAGGCTAGTTTTCACTTGAGATATATCATCAAAATTCAGCCACTGTAGTAAATTACTGTACATCGAATTACGTCATATAAAAACCAGCCTTTAGAGGTCTTTTTAAGATCAGATGAATAATAAAGCTTCTATGAAATTTAAGGCCATTAAAGGACTGGAAAAAATTTTCATAAACTGTATTTTGACAGGGGGTAAAAAAATGTATGAATGAAAGTGATTTTTGCCATAGAACATAATAGCATCACCTTAACAATACGTATATGCCTAGTATTTTCTTTTTTATTTTTATGTTTATTGTATGATTAAAGCTATAGTTGGCTATTGTAAACATTTCTTTTTTTCTTGGATTCTGCAACAGTAGTAATTTCTATAACATTTCTCAAAGAATAATGAGCTAAAAACTTATAATGATGATTTTGTTTGGGGGACTACATTTTTCTTCATCCCCTGAAGATTATCAGTTTACAAGACAAACTTTAATCTTAAACCTTAATCTCTAGTTTTAGTCTCCTTTCCCTTTTCTTCATGTTCTTTTCCCCTAGGTTCGGGCTCATTTTCCACCTTTCTCTTTTTCTTAATAATTCTGCTATTCATTGTAGTGTCCCCCCAGTGGAAAAGGCTACACTTTTCATCGTCTGAGATGGATTGACATCTGAAGAATGGTCTTCCCGGATTATCGATACATTGGGAGACCCAGAGGCTGGCAGGATACCCGCATACGCAGAAAGGAAACTTAAATTCTTGCAATACTTTCATTTCGTATGCGTCCATAACTGTAGGGTACTTTTCTTCAGGGCAGAACAATGTGCATACCTCACTCCTGCATTTGACGTAGGCACGTTCGTCCTTACTGGATACGATTCTCTCCAAACTAGCATCGCAGAAACACGGATATTTCTCAAGGGACACCATGATGGTCACGTTTTGCTCTTTCTGTCCTCGGGTTTAATTCGTAAATGAAAACGCAAGTGAAGCAAATGTGCTGCGAGAGCGTTTTCGCCGCTTTTTTTAAAGTGTTGTACTACACATAAATTATCATTTACAGACGCGTGATTTTCTTTGAAGAATAGATTACACTCATACAGTGAAATGCTAAATTCACGTGTAAGATCAACGCTTATTCAAATCGGCAATTTCCATTCAGTCACATTGTCAAACATCTTCCCGAGGGTCCTTATTATTCACTGCATCATTCCCCCTTAATTCCATTCAGTCACATTGTCAAGCATCTTCCCGAGGATCCTTATCATTAACTGCATCGTTTCCCTTAAGATACCGCACTTCAAATAGGCAATTTCCATTCAGTCACATTGTCAGGCATCTTCCCGAGGATCCTTATCATTAACTGCATCGTTTCCCTTAAGATACCGCACTTCAAATAGGCAATTTCCATTCAGTCACATTGTCAGGCATCTTCCCGAGGGTCCTTATCATTAACTGCATCGTTTCCCCCTTAAGATACCGCACTCGTTAATGGATCTTATCTTCACAACCTGACTTTCTTTTCAATTTCTGTTTAATACCGACACATGATGAAACCACAAGACAATATTCAAGGCACACTGTTTAATGGTAATTTTCTTTTCCCAACGCATCCGCTGTGTACTTCAACCACTTGAAACACTAAAAGTGTTTTGTATGTGTTTAGACGATAAAAACTCTGCAAAAAATCAAGACACACAAGTCGCAAAGTCAGAAAGAATGGCATCGTCACCACAGATCTAATAATACACTAGATAGTGCAACGGCTTACATTTCATAAGTAGTGGTTGAAGCCGGGCAAATTTACTTCCGGTGCCCCAAAGTAGTGAGAATCAATATGGCGTTGTATTAGAAAATATCTGGTCAAAGCTGATATCTTGCAATTACTTGCAAGTCACGACGGTTATATAAACTGGTTTACTCTATTAATGAAAAAAATCAATGTGACCATAGTTTTTCAACAAAAAGATAGCAGAATACGCCAATACATCGCCGTAAAATTGATTTCAAGTGTAGCTCGATTTGAAAGCATCAGCAGCGACGAAGGCTTAAGATACTGGAATTTGCACATCTAAATATCGTATCACAGCACAATCTGCCACAAAATGCTCAATCGAACGTCGTAGAATTATCTTCCGATATTTATTGTTAAGTAAAACGAGTTGGAGATAACAGTTTGAAAGATTTTTAACGATTTATATAAAGTATATTGTTCACTGTACATAATTAAATATTGCACTGGATTATTGTGCTAGAAATGCATTTTTCTGGTGTTTCTGGTCGGCAAACGAATATAGCTATGTCAAGATTTGAGTAATTAATACGTTCAGAAATTATTTACAGAAAGAATGTGAAGAGTCTACCTCAAAGAGTCTATGTCTTGCTTGTCTATGTCTTGTCTATGTCTTGCCTATGTCTTGCTTGTCTTGCTTGTCTATGTCTTGCTTGTCTATGTCTTGTCTATGTCTTGCCTATGTCTTGCTTGTCTTGCTTGTCTATGTCATAGAGTCTGTCTTGCTTCTTCGGAATTTGTTTTATATTATGAGTCTACCTCTGTTACACCAAATTGTTTGTGAAGTATAAAATAGCAGGTCACTTGTGAAACTGTTGATACCACAGGTTGATACATTACACTCTGTCCAACACGGGGAAAATATTTACTTGTTGAAGCAAGAAGAGTCACCAGACTTGTAGTATTGACTGTGTTTTACACATATATATAAACAATGTATTGTCATTGTCTAAACCAGTGGGTTATATGGCCACTGCCCACAGTGCTTAATGTACTGTTATGGTAATGTTATGCTACTGTTTTCAACATTTTTATTGTCTTTTTTACCATTCATGCATGTATATGCATATAAAACTTTCTACACATTCTTGTTATTGAAAATATCAAACCTAAATTATTTATTATGAGCAAAATATTTAATTTGTGCTTGTAACGTGTCAATTTCTGACTGATTTTTATAATATGCCTGTTCTATTACAATACATCCATAGATCGAGTATGATATCGCTGTATTTGCCACACGAACTAAGCCACACTATGGCAGATTGTGCTGTGCTATGATATTTAGATGTGCAAATTCCAGTACTTAAGCCTTCGTCGCTGCTGATGTTTTCAAATCGAGCTACACTTGAAATCAATTTTACGGTAATGTATTGGCGTATTCTGCAATTTTTTTCTTAAAAACTATAGTCACAATGATTTATTTCATAAATAGTGCAAAAAAGTTGATGCAACCTCCGCGATTTGCTAATAATTGCGAGATATTAACTTGGACAACATATTTTCTAATACAACGCCATATTGATTCTCACTACTTTGGGGCTCCGGAAGTAAATTTGCCCGGCTTCAACTTGTATGTCAGTAGCACTATCTAGTTAAGTGTATTATTAGATCTGTGATCGTCACAGTCAACGTCTAGCAAATACCCCGAAATTAGTAAGTACGAGTTCTTTCTGTTTATTTCAAATTAGCGAATGTTTTTTATCTTCAACAGAATCTATCTCCTCATTTTCAGAAAAATGTAATCACTGTCGTGATTTTTATACCACGGCTAAATGTGGCCACACTATACATCTGTCCCCTTTAATAGAGTCACGGGGAGAATTCAAATGTAAAATTTGTGGGTTTGTATGCCTTTAAAGATATTTTTATCTCAGGTTGCGTTTCATGTCATTGATTTTTACTTTTGTAGTGTATCGGATGCTGATGTCGATTTAGCTGTTCGCCGATTTTTGATGTAAGTTTGTAATTCATGGGTGCGTTTATACCTTACTGTGTGCTATTATATAAAGTTTAAATATGTGTTTGAGGTATAAACTGTCATATGGAAGCAGCAATTTTATATAGTGGTTCTTATTTCATTCATTCAGAAAACTGTGTACCGAGGGCGTCATGTTCGATGTACAGATTTGACTATGATACCTTACCATATTTTTGTAATGTAAAAGTATAAATAAACGTTTACAAAAGTTGAATGACTCGTTTTTTAAGTTTGTTCATTTTATCTGAAACAAATATTTTAAGCCAATCTTTACAAGTATGTTTTAGTATCTCAAGTCCATTAACGGGTGGGTCGACATCTTCAATGCTTTTCATAAAATCTTTCATAACAGTCTCCTCATCGAAATACAACATCACACGTTCATCGGGCTCCATCATCAAACAATCATGTTTGCGTTGGGAGGGGTGTTGGATCACACAACCATAGCAATTCTTGTTTACTGCGGCATGTATCATTGCAGTAATTTCATCGGCGTAACAGTCTAATAGTTTTTTTCCAGCAAACTTTGACGTTGACTTATTTCATTTTCTTCTTCTAAGCTCAAAGCCGACATTTTTAAGGCTAGATCGATGTCTGCTTTCAATGACATTTATTTTTAAAGAGATAAAATGTAAACCTTTCAATAAAGAGTAAGCTATGAAATGCAATCGACTTGTTATCTGTTGCTGTACCATGGATTGAGAAAGGAAACGGAATTACCGATACTGGAACAATCCAATATGGAGCCATGGCATCCTTTAATTTACATCTGTTTCATTTCCCGTTTATCATATTAGCCTATTACACTCAACTTCCTGCGAGACTCTGTTTCCGGTCAACACGCGTGCGCACCGATCAACTTCCGGGGGAGCTGGAAACTAACTGGCACGGGTAAGAGCTCCGTGACAAAAGTGTGACAAAGCTGCATCTTATCTACTACTCAAACTTAATAGTAGTAGATAACGTGCAGCTTTGTCACACTTTTGTCACAGAGCTCTTACCCGTGCCAGTTAGTTTCCAGGCTTCGAAAGTGAACCAGTGCGCGCGCATGTCAACCGGAAATGGGGGTTAATAAACAAGGCATGGAATTGGATGGCGTGAAAATCGGAACTACGACAAAGCTGCATGCTATTGACAAAGTAACATTAGATCCGTTTCTTTTTCTCAATCGAAGGTAAAAACGGTAGAAAACGAGGTAATTGCATTTTATTATACTTTACCGAAAAGTTTACATTTTATCCCTTGAAACAAATGGAATATAATGTAGACATTGATCAGGCATTAAGAATGAACAAATTGCCTTTGGAGTCAGATTTATTGCAATCTGATATTGAAAATTAAACTATCACACATTGTTCTAAAGGAAATATAAAAACATGTATGAATTTACTGCTTACAAGTTACCACTTCTGTATACATATACGTAAGCCATGTATAAAAATTTTTTTACGACAATTACAAGCGAATTAAAAACTGATTCGATAACGTCTTTGATAAGACGGTCCGTCTCTGAATCCGTAATACTATATGAACAAAAAAGATAAATGACTTTAATTGTAATGAATTAATTTCACCTTAAAAAAAAATCTTTATAGATGTACATACCCACAAATGAGACATTCAAACTAAATGTCCGTCTGACTGAACATCTTCTCGACGGCATTAGCAAGATGTGATACATGGCCACATGATAAGATGCCTTGGCCAAACTTAAATTGAAAAGCCCAGATATATCACAAATTGTTGGTCGCCAATTTTAAAAACTCTTCAGAATGATGCAAACTCCATCTTTTCAACACCACAGCAAGTTGAACAGTTATATGAAGAAAAACAGCCAACAGTCAAAAAGGTTAACAAGCTTTTTATTGCTAGTGTGAGTACTGATGCTGAACGGCAGAGCTTGGATTTCCTAAAAAGATATGTGAAATCATTGGAAAAGAAGGCTCTTGAATGATTTCTGCATTTTTTTAACTGGTAGTGATGTATTGACATCAATTGAAATTACATTTACAACCCTTCATGGCTTTTCACGACGGCATATTGCCCACACATGTGGGCCAACCCTAGAGCTACCAATAATCTATGAATGCTTTGCAGAACTGGCAGAAGAGTTTACAAGCATAATGAGAGGAAGCACATCAGGGTCATTTGACATTGTGTAAAGTTGTTTTTTATTATTTTTCACAATATCAAATAGTTTTGTTTAAACAGAAAGAGAACTGACAGTTTTGAAAAAAATGTTAATGCGTTGTATGGTGTTAACTGAAGAATTTGTCTAACTTCTTCATCCAAGTCGGCATCACTAATATCTGAGAAGCTTTGCTTAATTCCAAAGTCGAATCTTCTCCTGTGTAATGTTCTGGTAGAAATTCCAAGAAAGCTAGCAATGTTCGTCCAGTTCATTCCCGTATCACGAAGTTTCTCAACTTGTTATTTTCTGATATTATAAGCTGGTCTACCTCCAGTACTTATAAGCGTATCAATATCATTGTTTTAGTAAAGTCATGCTAGTATTCATAAAGAACAAAGTTGTGTTGGTCGCCACTTGCTGTATCTAATATCTATTGAAAAATAGATAGCCAGTAACGTAATCAATCAAATTAAAGCATTTGCCATCGAATACGCAATATTTATCTTTTTTAAAAGTTGTCTTCACAATTCTCATAAAGCCGAACAGTTCACGAAACCAATATCGGCGATTGCGTAGCCACGTCATTCATAAGTAAAAAGAAAAAAGATATTTAGCCAATGAAAAGTTCTTGGAAGTGATATCGTAGGTTGCTAAAAAAGTATTATTTGGTTACCGATTTTGAGAGTACCATCACACACTGTAAGATACCATTTTATAATGATGAAAGTGTACCAATTTAGGTTACCGGAAAAATACTTCTCCAGTGTACCGGGAAGGTACTGCCTAGTTAGCCGTGGAGATGTTGCTAGGTGAAAAGACCATGAACTTATTTGTTTATATTTCTTTCAGGAACAAGCCCTTATGAATGAAGTGAAAGCTTTTGCTTACTCAGCATCAATTGTGATGTCACTTAGCTACAATAATGATACCAAAATTGTAAGTTTTACATTTTTATCATTGAAATTATACGGGATGTGATCCTTGAATCCTTGAGGGTTCTTACTTCACCTTATGTCATATTCTGTATTGCGAAGATATTCGCTACAGTTTACCTAAGATGATACAGAATCTGATTTGCATCAAGCTTTTGGTAATGTGGTGAACGACAATCGCAATGGACTAAAAGAGTTTGCTAGTAGTTGTGGTGAGTTTAACTGTTGTGTTATTTGGTTTGGTAGTAAGTTTAAAATTTACGAAGCCCAATATTTTACACGTTCAGATAACAACAAAGCATATCGATTTGTTACGACTACTTGTATTTTCGTAAGTGCCCGGAAATTGATATACGCCATTGATGTTCCCTATTTATAGGATTGAACTTTTTTGGGGAAAATATTTTGACAGATAAAAATTTTAGCTTTTTTTCTCAAGTAAAGCTCATGAAATATGGTGTTTTTTCAAACTATATTATTTTCAGAAGCCTGATTTCTTATGATTTCTACTTTTATCTGCGAAACCTTACCTACTGTGTGTAATACTTATTTTTCTTTAGATACGTATTAAAATATACAATCTTATTAATGATAAAGACGTTCGACGACTTTTCAGAGATTTATTTTCTGTTTTTCAGCCAAGAAACCTCGTTGGAAAATCAGCAAAGGAAATGCTGCAGAAATTATTGGTGTTGTCTTTGGAATTTTAATTTTGCTCGTTTTCATCTTGTGTATGTTCCTTTGGCTAAGGAAGCGCCGCCAGGAAAACGAGGCTTCGTAAGTGGAAGTTGCTTCATCCATTCCATAGCTTATGAGGAATACCTCTTGAAGACATAATTTTATATTTAGAACGAAGCTCTTCGACAATACTGTGGCTAACGAAACTGCAGTTAATGTTGACAAGTAAATTGTAAGTTTTAACATTTCCGCTTTTTCTACTGAGATTCATATGTAAAACACGTTGTGTAATAGTACCATCTGAAGAAAACTCTGTTATTTAACAGCTTATTCACGTTGAAACTTGCACTCACTGAGTGGTGCTTTGAAATCACCGCATAGCTGCTTGGAGACGATACTTTCACTTCACTGATTGCTTGATTTGAAATACTTTATCAAAAATCTTGTCGTTGATGGAGAAATGATTTTGCCATTGATTAGTTAGAATAAGATTTCTGATTTTTCCTATGCAACAGTGCTGCTTGTTTAACGTCACAAGTATTATAAAACAAATGATAGTCGACCGTAAGCAGTTAAACCCCCTGCTCTGTTAGTTATAATGTCAAATTGCTGTGGAATTTGCTAAAAGCTGTTACTAAAATATGCAATAGCAATGTATGACTACCGTGAAATTTTCTTTAACAAATTATTTGATAACATTGTTCCGTTTTGTCACTTACATCATATTCTGTGATGTTTGTATCATCTATATATTAGGAGGATTTGACGCTCATTTTAAAGAAAGTAATTTTTCGTAACGCTTGACGTTTCCAGTTCTGATGCTTTCACGATTGACAATTCAAACTTTTTTATCCTAGCAACAAGTACCGTCCAACAGATACCAAGGAACAATACAAACCGACGACGTCACTATGTTATTATTTAATATTTAACTTTGGACATAAAGCCAAGAATCCACCATTAAGTAACATATACTACTGCAGCACTAACTGCTTTCATTATGATGCTGTCAGTCATGAATTTTTAAAGAAAAATATCTTATCAATGATATTGCGAGGTTTCTTTGAAATTTTATTATGTATCAAGTGACCTGTTGTAATGTATTTTGACGTTGGCTGCGTGTCAGCCTCTTAATGTGGTTTACATAAAGTATCGTATCAACCTTGCATAAATCATATAGTTGTGCCATATAACATGAAGATGATTCTTATTTTAAAACTGGAATCTAATTTTGTATATGATCATTTTATCACATAATATATACGTTTTCGTTTTTGTAAATATCGCGAATTATATATTGTATAATCAATGATACAGTTTACATATTTGATGAACATGTGTCTATTAAAGTTGACATTAACGGTGTCACAGAAAATCTTGCTCTTTAACCACCCACCCCCCCAAGGAAATATATGGTGCATACTGGATATTTGCAGTGGCTTGTTCTTAGGCAACGGCACTAACAAACAGACCGCCATTGGTAAATCCTTTTTTCCTTTCTGCTTCTTACTCTAAATCATTTAAATGTAGTGTGCAGCTAGCTGGTATTCCAGGTCGATGCAATTGTGAATGTGCTTATTCATCGCTTGATTCATGGTCAATGTGTAATTGAAGTGGACAATACTGCGGGGTTGCATGCAAGTTTCTGTTAAAGTGGAAAATTTAAAGTAGGCAAATAATTATAGAAACAGTGATGAACGCACAATGTCTTGATTATGTAAATCAGTAGAAAAACTTGCCTTCTGGCTAACAATGTTGAATGCATAGCTGACTTGTTACGGAATTATTTGTATATTTTGGATATGTGAAACAAGTCAGTTGCTGTCCAAATGCATGTCAACTTTTTGCTCTTCAACGAGTTTTACAACATTCATAGTTTCGATTCACATACATTGTGATGTACAGAGTGTCCTCCTAAAAACAGAGCCGCACAAATGATTATGTGTGCATTAAGATGAAATCTGCATAAGATGATTTAGTCCGCGATAGCTATTTGTTCTTGCCTGGTTCACTTAGTTACACTCTAGTTTGTCCACGTTTGTTGTAAGTTATGGAAAAATATGATTACGTTTTGGTGGCTGCTATAACTAATTAATTGATATCGGTTTAATTTTACCAATGATATGTATATTACATGGTGGTGCATAACCAATATATAGGGAGTGAAAAAATTTGAAGCCTGAAGTAAACAGCTATAATTAGATGCGCCGCCATATTAAACAGTCCCACTCACATAAGAAAAATCTATAGTAAAGAACCACGATAGCAGTAAATTTCGGAGCGCATTGTTCTAATTAACCCTAAAAAACTTTCATCGTGAAAAAAGAAGCATTCTTTTGCGATACTATCTCTCAAATGGCGTCACGCAAATTTTTTGAATAAATCCTTAATAGTACAACTGCTTCCCACAGTTAAATTTTTTAAAGCTAATAAGTACCAATTTTGTCAAAGCATCATAAGAGACGCTTCTCGCAATTTTTCATAGCAGAAATAGACACACTTTGTATTTCAACCTGACCTCGTGAAGTGGGGCTGTTCAATATGGCGGCCTTCCTGCTTTAATTAGTGATACGCAAGCCTGTAGCGTACATATCAATGGATTTTACAAAGCTTTTGCGTACTACATTTGAGAGGAAAATCAATATATGACAGCGCTTTTAACTTGCTTTGCATCTAATACTGTACAAAACCCCATGAAATCCCAGAGGTGCAGAACTGTCAAGTTCATGTGAGCGCTAGTTACCGTATAATCTTATTACCACAATTCCATAGGTGCTTGGGGTCCTGCAGCACGTCTTTTACCTTATCTAAACTCTTTTTCTACGGGTAAATCTTGAAAGAATCAGAATATAATTTGTTGAAAACGTGAAAGGAAAAAAAATACAATCTTTTCTCAAAATTAAAATCTCTTTATAAAGTTTGTGAGCTTTAAGGAGTAATCTTTTTTCAGCATTGTGTGCTAATTTTATTGACAGCAAAAGAGCCACATTCGGTCCATAAGCCCTTTTTCTGGTAATTACCAAGCGAAGGTGTCTCTTATGATTGAAACCTAGGGGATGGTGTTCATCCAGTAGGCTAGGATGCTTTAATCCTTTTTCTTCGAATTTCAAAAAACTTGACTTTGAAACTGACTTTGACTTGCCATTCTTCGATAAATTTTTTAACTTCTGATCGCATTTGTATGATTTATGACTAATTAATTCATCGTCCCACAATTATAAAATGACTTTCGTGTTTTTAAAAATATTCTAATAAGGCCTGGCACGGAGGCCCACCTCCGTCTCTGTCAAGTCTTAATTCCTTGGTTGTTCTTTAAATATCCAGACTTCTGTGGGCTTTATCTACAATATATGAATGCTATATTTCGTTCTTGCATGCATTCTTTTTGCCTATTGGTGCAAAACTTATCCATAATTGGAATTTGATTGTAGCGTAACTTTTACTTGTTAACGGTCTTCACTACATCTGAAAGAAATGATTGTTATCCTCTCGTCAATTTAGGTCTTATTGTTAATTGTTCTTGGTGTTCCTGTAATCTGTGTAATGGTAAATCATTTAGACAAAAGAAAAGTTACGGCGAATACGAATTTATTACATTTTGGCAATGTTAACCAACATTATTAATGTGTCTCTCCATTACAAAACTTAGGGAGCTAAGCGGCTGAAGCCCCTAGCTTCCCACAAGTTAAATTTTACACCTTGTATTGCGATGTTTTTGACTGTCTATAAATCGTGAAAATACACCAGTGATTTCGGTGATAGTATACATAAAATACTGCACGGAAAGTTTTGTTTATATGCTCGTTTAATCCACAACTTGTTTACCAAGTTTCTTTTTCAGTCTAGATACAGAAAATAATGTCTAAAGTGGCTAATAAGCACTTTAATTTCAGTATTTATTTGCGTCTTAATGTGCTTCGTTGTGTCAATAAAATTGTTTTCACTAAATTGCTTATAAACCATACGCGGGTTTCAAAGACGACGTATAAAAAACGTTTACACGATACAAAGTGTATATACAGTGTGCCCTCCCGGCTATCACCATATTAAAATGGTGACTCCTGCACTTGGGTTTTAATCAATATTATATATATATTAAGACTTTTCTACAATTGTGGTATTCATTGTTTAAAATAATTAAGACTGTACGTAGTTAATTTTATCTTTTGTAAAAAAATATCAAAAACTATGCTGGGTGGTCTTGGCCCTGTTGAAGCAGCAGACGCAAACATACAACATCTGATTGACCAGATAAGATTTTGTCGTGCCTTGTCTAGATAAGAATATAATACAATGTTTACTACAAGTGCTTGCTAGTCATATGTAAAAAAGTTGAAAGCTTTTATGAATTTTTTGTGCGAAATACGTTGCTTTTCTATTGAGCATATTGGCTTATAACGTAAGCCTATATTTAGTCGATGCATCTGTCAGTGCTGCCATTAAAAATGACATCCTCGAAGAATCTTATCTTTTCTTTTTAAGGTGCGTTCTTATGCCGAAAAAAGCTGGGGAGAATTTTGATGAATACAAAACACTAATGTACAGAAGTCAAGTTGTAGCAGGCAAAAATTTCTTTGTCAAGGTATATCATTATTAATTTAAATATAGGTAATTATAATATTGTTAATATGTAGCAAAATGACATACACATTGATTAAATCCAAATTTTTTTTAAGATTCATATTGGTGGTGCAAAATATCTTTGCAAAACACAAACTGCATGTCATAACTCTCAACTATACCACTAAATAAGACAAAGGATGACCCAATTGAATACTTTGGAAACTGAGCACAAGGACACTTTTCAGTTTTTGCTGAGTTGACCCGTACAAAATAATTGGTAAAATGACTTGATTTTTTCAGTAGCTACGTGCAATCAAACACAAATTTCATTTTGTAAAATTTTTTTCAAAGCTTATTTACGATATGTAAACTTGGAAAAGTGATAAGTCTCTTTAAAAAAGTGCATGATAACTCGTCAAAACAATGCAATATTATTATTTATTTTTGCTTTTTACTTTAAAAATTCTTATCTCCTTTCAGTAGCGTAGGCAACCCAGCTTTTTACTCCCGCTATGCTAATATGACCGTATGAACAATATACATTTCTAAAGAAACGAGTAATGGTAATCCTTCAATCTTTACATCGCGAGAGTAAATCTGCAGGCTGGCTACGCTACTCATTCCTTTTCAATGTTTCTCGACTGTAATCACCTATCGACAATAAATCTTTTTTATAAAGAGAATATCATAAATCATTTGCTTACTTTCTAATAATTATGTGCGCATAATACCGCTGTCCAACCACTTACATTTTGATCACATCTCTATTTTTTGTAAGTGTGGAATTTCAGTTCTTACATACTTAAAAAATGTCAGAAGCCTGGTAATAGGTTCAAGTGAATGGTGATTTTTTTAATGAGTAAACACATTACAAACTTGCGCTTAATTTTTGTTGTTCTTTTTCTTTTGTCATTTAGCACTAAGACAAAATTTGTACACTACTGATTTCGGTGATAAAGTGCTTCTTTTAACTGATCGACAAAAATATCTTCACCTTGAATGTTTTTCTTTTAATTCCAAGAAATGATACCCCTAGCTGACCGTGCTGTAGATCTGCTTTCAAGAAATTTCAAAACTCAAATTCATACTCAATATTTACAAGATATTTTTTAAATTTGTTCGTCTGACATATACATCACCAGATCACCATCATTTTTGCTCAATTCCAATTTTCGGAATTCAGGTTTTCCACTTTCGAAGAATCCTCTTCCCCCATTCCCTTCCTCATTCTGGTTCAGCTTTTTATCCTTTCCTGTGGGCAGACAGTACTTTGTTATTAAAGATAAAACGCAAATCTTGTCTGTGTTAACGCCAAAATGACAATAAAACATGATACGAGCCAAACTATGATCAGGAAACACGTTAAATTTTTGCGATCACTTGTAACGTTGGAAGCTTTTGCTTTTAAGGATTAAGCATAATTTACTACAGAATCGTCGGAATTGTAGTTACACCGTCACGAATCGTGTATTCTTGGAGTGCAGCCAAAGAGTGTAGCCAAAGTTTTAGACACGAAGACATGAAGTTATAAATAGAGTAAAAGTCATATTGCATAGAGAATAATATTGACCAATGGAATGGCTTAAATAAGCGTTCTTGAACTCCGTTATCGGTCGAACCAGTCGAGCCACCCCGCTTATCAGTCAGCCAGTTAATATAATTCTAGATATGTTTTTATCTACTGATCTGTTTACTTAGGTGGTATTTGTATAAGTTTTATGCATAAAACAGAATTTTGACGATGAAATCCAAACGATCACAGAACGAAAGTTTAATGTTGAAAAAAAATTGTAATCATTAAATTTGATATATAATTTTGAACTATAAACATCAGTCGCTTGACTGATTTGACATACCCTAGATCTGCCCCTGCATTTAATTTGCCTACTGAGTGAACCAAAACAAACTTCCAAAATGTCATTCAAACAAAACAACAGCTTATTACCTCCCCCACCTTCCCTTTATACACAAATGTACGCATTCATCATTTTGCTTTTTCCCTTCTCTATTTTTATATTTAGATGGTCATCGAAGGTGTAGATGATAACAGTTATACTGGTGATATTGCATTGATGATCTGTATCTGACAAATGGATCATGTCCCATCCATCCAGCATACGCTCAACGTAAGTTCAACTTTAAAGTCATTTTAAGTAAATTGTCAAATCTTATGAAGATTTAACAAACATGTACCTTATATCATTGTTGTGTTTTGATGTTAATTATTAAACAAAGGTAAAATTGTTATTAAGAGGACCGTGGAAAGGAATTTTGAGCTTAATTTGTCTTTCATCACAAATATGCAGTCTTGAAGATAATATTTAAAATGTTTGTTTAATTTAAGATCTTTACTTGAATGGGCTCCATGATCATGCCATGCAGTGCATGTCATTTAATGTTTTTCATTTCTGCACTCACTGATTAATTCACTTATGATGAAAATTTTTTGTGTTTTCTTTTCCACTTTATGTATCCAGCTAGAGCGGTTTTCCCGACAGTCCCAAGTAAGTAAATCATCGTTAAATAGAAAATTCGAACATTTTTCGAAAATAAAAACTTTTAATTTTCCACTTACCATTTTTGTGTTAAAATATGGCAACCCGTAAAACATTTAAACTGAGTGACTTCGTTTTTACTTTCGTGAAGTATGAGTAAAATAGATAAACAATAAGAATTGCATCCTTCATATACAACTGGTTGATTATAATATTCAGGAAATGATATTTATTATATTGTCTTCACCAATATAATTATCAAACTTTGTGCTCCAAATCCACATAGTAATGACGTTTGGTTAGTTATTGCTAATTGGCGCATTTTTCTTTATTGAAACCAGCCTAATATAAATACATATAAAACCACCTGATTTGATTCATTTTTGGGTCTCAACTTTGTGGAAAAAAAACAACTTCACATTTCATTCTCCAAATACGCCGTTGATATCTAAAAGGCTATTGTTACAATTGGCTCCTATATTGATTATGACCGTGGTTTTGGGCAATATGTCCTCCTAGCCTGTTTGATTAATTATTAAGCACAGTTTGTACTAAAGGGAAGTGCCAAAGAAAGGAATGATTTCATTTTGTAGCATTTTGACACGAAATTATTGTTGTTATTTTTTATATGTTGGTAATACGAAAGGGAATAACCTTGAGACTTCACTATTCATAGTTTAATAAATTTTTTTGGTACTGTATAATTTAAACTCTGTTCATGTCAAGGCAACAGTAAAGAAAGAAACAATGGTCCACTCTAATGAAAATTTTAATTAAAGTGGCAAATATCTTATTGGCCGTATGTGATTAACGTAGTGCAGCGAAGTAAAATGCATTATCTAACAAATAGGAATGTTACGATGGCTAGCCTCAGCAAGTAATCTATTTAATGAAAAATACAGCGCCAAGTTTCGCAGTAAAATGGGAATACTGACTACTGTTTGTTCTGTATACAGTAACTGTGGTTAAGGCTACCCGCATGTACACACTGTGAACCTATTTTTCAAGCATTCTTTTTAGTTTGCTTGCTTTTTAAAAATTGTAGCACATGTCCAAAAAATCGGGAAAATTCTTGAAGCAGTGTCATAAATTTTCGAGAAACGTTTGCTTTTTGTCTGCATGCACAGACCTGCATTTTTGTCAAGCCTATATTGTAAGCAGTCTTCACATGAAATTTTCTGGATGTTTGCTTTCCTCTACAACAAATACCTTTGCTGGGTTTTTTTGTAAGAAAAGCAAAAATTCTGAATTTGTCACCATAAAAGCAGAGCCAACAATGTGTAGGTGTACATCATTAAAAAAAACAAATGCCAAACCAATTCGTATTTTCTGTTCAGTGTCATGTTTTTGCTTGTTTTATGTTTTATTTCTTAACACCAATATACAAAATTTTTTTGCACAAGGTTCTGCCATTAACATTTGTTCTTCATCAACAACTACCTCAAGCAGCGGATCTATTGTATCTCCTAACTATCCCAGTAGTTATCCTGGAACAAGAACTTGTATCACAACAATCAGCAGACCTCTAAATTACAGAGTTAGATTCATTTTTTCGAACATTAATTTGAAACAAAATAGCAACGGTATGTAATTTGGTGAACGTTACTGCCATATGTTATTAAAAGTAAACTCATCCAAATAATAATTGAGAAAACAAATCACTTTAGCAATTAGTCCGACAATATGTATGGATTCACTTACAATATCTGGGGGAACGTCAAAACAGTTCTGTGGTAACGAAACATCTTTGACATTTGTACCGTCTACAAATGTTGTAACTTTGATCTTGAGGACGAGGGGATTGGCACCGCTTGAAGGATTTTATTTAAAATTTACGAGTTTCTATCGTAAGTATGTCCTTCTTTTGAAAATATAAGGCTTCTGATTACATATATTTTCAGACAGATGCTAAATAAAAGTTTCAAAACAACTGTTAACAAAATCAATATTGAATACAATTGTTTATTCTTTCACTGTTTGAGTTTATAACCAAGGAAAGATTTTTAGTGGAAAAAAGCACTATCAAAACTTGCATGTATTAAGCGGCCCAACAAAAGCCTTTATTCAGGGGACACTTTCAGGGTTATAAATATAATCTCAAACTAACAAAATTCTTAATGATGTAACTTTTACAAAGCGGTTATCTCGATGAAGCAGGTATTGGTGTGTTCCCGAAAAGTGTCCTTTTAAAAGAATTTTAAGTGTAAGTATAAAGCATAAAAGGACTTTTATAAAATTGTAAAATTGATCGAAAAGGTAAATTTTACAATATTATTAGTATTATAATTAACGTTTTGTTTTTAAACTCAAAAGATAATAAAAAATCCGTTGGAGCGTATATAGTATGTTATAATTCTTTTATTGATAAAAACGGTCTGATTAAAAAAAGCACAAAGATTGTGGATGCAAGATATTTCACCTGAGGTGTACACATTTAAGTAATGCGGGGCATGCGTAAATAGTTTAAAGGATGGTTTTTGGTTTTCATTGTACAAACGAGGAGAATTACATAAAGACGTAAGTTTCTTGCTCAAAGATTTTATTGAATAAACATCAAGAAATCCATTTTCCAGATGCGCACGATTATATAAACTGTTTCTCAATTTTGTTTTCCCTTTTGAAAAATTAATTAACAGCTACCTTTTCATTCAAAATTACTTTTTTATTGTGTGAATACATAAACTAGATATTAAATTTTAAAAGACAAAACAAAAATTCTCAATGTATATATATTTTGTAACAAAAGTACTGCAATGAATATTTTGTTATCTTTAATTTTACTTTTTCTATTTTTAGATTTTAATTGTTCATTTGAGAAAGACTTGTGCAAAATCTTCACTATCGGAAACTGGTCCAGAGTAAATGGGAAAGTTGTTCAAAATGGTCCAGTTATCGATCATACTCTAAAAAACTTATCAGGTATATTTTTTATAATATCAGTTTAGATATGCCTGGTGTAAATTACATAGCGAGCGGTGCAGTAAAAATGGACAGTAACAAACTGTTTACTAGGCAAATATTTCTTATTTTTGTAAATCATCATATACACCTCTTATAATAATATTGTATATAATCTTATGATATATATGATACATTGCAACGTGCATATTATTTATTGTATTGCTGACTACTCTTAATTTTAAATATTCATTGTACATTTGAAAACAATTGGTGCAATTTTACAAAGATTGGGGATTGGAAGCGAGTCATGGGATCAAACTTGGGCAACTGCTCGATAGAGGATCATACAATTGGCAACAGCAGTGGTAAGTATGCTGTTTTGTATTGCATTGTTAATTATTATAACGCAAAGAAATTACATTTTACTCTACACTTAATTAAACTGATAACATTTCTGCGATATTTAACTTGCCTATGTAAATTTGATTTGAACTAGATGTTTTTTATTGAAAATAGATTTCGTCATAAAATAGTCTGTAACCAACAGTGAGAAACAAAAAACATTGTCTTTTAAGTTGGGTTGGTGTTCTGGTTTTAAACAATTCTTTTAAGAACGTTTATGGTATTATTTTGACCATTCGTCAACATATTCTATTTTTACAACAATTTTTACATTTGTCACCTCGACAAAGTGTCTACTATAATAACAAGTAATCCAGGAAAATCTTAAATTTTCACTCAGGTCATTTTGTGATCTTGGAAACATCTATCTTTGAAAATGTGAAAAATGGAATCATTAAAAGAAACCTTACTGCAAACGGAAGGTTAGCACGTTTGAATTTTTGGTATCAAAGCTACGGACATACATCAAATATTTTAAAGATTTTTGTATTGGTTAATGGACGAAAGCTTCTGTTATGGAACAGCACGTTGGGTACAACAACTTCTTTGGAAAAAGGAAACACAACAATTTATTTAAACTATAATGGTTTCTCTGTAAGTCACAAATATATTGTAGAAGGTTTGATGAATTTAATATGTAGTGCATTAAGGTTAACAAATATATTGCATGTGATTCTCTTGAATCATTTTACAGATAATTTTTGAAGCTATGGTAAATTCATATCCTGGTTATATTTCCTTGGATGATATTCTTGTTGATATTGGTGAAAGCAACAGACCTGGTGAGGTTTTAATTTATCATTACAATTTTGTGAAATTTACATGCCAAATTAAGAGCTTCAATAGCTAGGTGGATATTTTAGTACCTACCTTGTGTTGATAGTATTAAATAAATATGGAGTAAATATAACTGTTCAATTTTCTTTTCATTTGTATTTCCTGATTTTTAAGGATTTGCTTGCGTAATCAAAAAAGTCCTTTATGTTGTCGTAGCGTGGATAGGATAGAAAATAAACTCGATGAGGTAAAAAAAAGTGTGACAGTGCAACGAGCATTTCGCCGTTCCTGTTTGTCATTATTGAATGTTTTTCTGGAAAAGAACAGTACTCGTTTTAGAAAATATAGGCAAATAGCATCAGGGAATCTGTAAGAAAACATTTGCTTTTTAATTTAAATATTAAAACGTTTTCAAAGGCAACAATATGAAATGACTTAGGAGCATGGCATAGCCTTACTTAGATATTGTGTAATTTGTGTTACCATTTTTTAAATAGCATTCTTGTTTTTTAAAATTTAAATGTTTTTTAGAAGATAGATGACACCAGTGTTTGATACACTAGTGAAACAAAAATGACATGGGCAGTAACCATAAATGAATGTTATGTCAACAATACATTTTGGCAAAAACTTGATATGCTGTTGTGTTTTGTTACCAAATATTTTGCATCCCCCCAACCCATATGATTATAATAATACTGCTATTTTGTAATGGTCAATCATAAAAAAGCAAAGCCTTGCGCACTCATCGAGTGAATATTTTTCTATATATAATATCTACAGAAAACATATTTTTAAATGTTAAATGGTAGTTATCTTCAGGCACATAAGTTTGTTGTTGTATTGTAAAGCAAGAACTTTTGATCAAATTTAAATTTAGAGAGTTATTGTTCAAAACATAACATTTTACATGTCACCATAAAGAAGTTTTTGTTCAAAACAGGTGACTGTAGCTTTGAAAATGGGATAAGCAACTCAAAATGTCTGTGGAGAAATGTTGGTTATCCGCTTGATAAATATAACTGGATTGTCCATTGTGGTTCTACACCATACTACGGCACTGGTCCTAGTTTTGACAGAAAAGGATCCACTACAGGTGTGTGCTGCTATCATTAAAGGACACATGCAACATAAAATTCGGATTCTTGTTTTTGTACTTTACATGAAGGTATAGCTCCAACTAATAGTTCACCAAAGTTTGAGACTCAAAGGATAAATATTTTTGAAGATATGGAGGTTTAAAGTTGATGCTTTACTGATAACGTATTGAAAATGCCCGACGAACTAACGACGGCTACCGATTGGAAAAAGTTCGTTGTGACGTAATAGTTGACATTAGCTAAACGCGGTCAATTGCGCGCTTCGTTCAAAATATATTGGTAACTTCTTAACAACACGACAATTTAGCATTGAAAATATGGTTTATTGTGCTGCATTTAATTGTAAAAACGGTTCTTCTAAGAACCACGAAACGCAGCAAAAGATTTCTTTTTTTTCGTTTCCCGAAAACAAGCGCATGCGAGATATTTGGATTGAAAAGATCCGACGCAAAAATTAGAAGCCAACAAAGAGCTCAAAATTGTGTTCGCAACATTTCGAGAGTTCGTGCTTCGTGCAAAATTTTGAAGCGATGCAATCAGTAGGATGGACAGCAGGACGGCTTCGCCTTAAGAAGGATGCTGTACCCGCGATTTTTGAATACTCTGTGGAACCCACAAGTGTAGCATCTAAAAGGCAGCAGCCAACAAATGTTAGAACTGCATTTGAGAAGAGACGAAGGCAAGAGGTGAATAGTATAGTTATAGTTAGCAATATTTGTTTACATTTATCAAAAACTAAGCTATATAGCATTACCAAATTGAAGAAAATTTTATAATTTTAGATTATTGACGACGTTCTTGCAGAACATGACGACTTTCTTGTAGACGACGACCACGATGTGTCGACATCGGCTCGAAGTGTTTGTGCGTTTTACCTCAAAGGAAGTTTGTCTAAGAAGAAAGATGTCAAAATATATGTAGACAGCGAAACGCAAACATATACAGTGGTAACTAATTCAGACTAATGTCGTTTGATCTTTTCTGTGTTATTTTAACTCATAGAAAATTCCTTAACGTACCTTAGAAGCGCAATGTGAAATGCCAAGCAGCCATAACAATCCGTCCGCAAAAACACGTAAGGTCAAGAACCACTCAAACAAAAGTGCCAAATATGATAAGTAGAGGTATAGGCTTTCCATTTCGGCCGTTTGATTTTTGTGAAAAATCCAGCAATACGATAATTTTATGCTAAGGTACGGAGGTTGAGTTCAATTTCACAGACGACGTCATGTGAAATTGAACATTTTGAGGATAGCGCTGTATGGTCTGATACAGAAAGCACGTCGACGATGAGCATTAGCTACAATGGATCAGACTCTCAATGTTCAAATGGGTAAAACAATGGGACTTTGGGAAAAACAATGAAGCATCAATAAAATGCAACTAACCATTAAACATTTCCAATTCTGTGAATGTATTCATCTTCGCTTTCCGATGACGAAGAATTGTCATTACTATGACCACCTTGCGCGTTGGCCAAAGGCTCAAACATGTAAGGTTGTACCTCATTGTTATTGACGACAATATCATAATCGGCTTCTTCTTCAGAAGAATCCATTAATTTTTGTTAAATAAAAAACAGTAATAGCAAACTACCGAAAGCCGTGCAAGTCATAGAACGATATAAGAACGAAGCTTGTTTATGTCAACTATTACGTCACTCTCTCCCAGTTCCCAGACTTAAACAATCTCACGGCGTTTTAGCAATGGTCATCGAATATCGTGTTTTTACCGATTATAACCCTAAATATCCTTTTAAATATTTTGCGGACGACTTTGAAACTTGGTACGTCTTATTTTCACGCTATAGGCATTACAATAAAATAAAGTTGTCTTCTAGCTTGCATGTGTCCTTTAAATCAATTTTTTCCTTTCCTAAATATTATCTTTCTATCTTGTATTGCATGGTTTGTATTAATTTGAACATTAGAAATGGATAATGTCGTGGAGATGGCTTTGTTTGACAAAAATGTTTACAGAATATTAGCCAAATAGAGTAAAATAGAAATAATAGAAATTTATAATTGCTTGATACATAGTTCGCATTAGACACAATCTCATTGAATGTACATTTTATGTCTAAATAGGAAAATACATTTATATGAGGGGAAACTACGGAAGTATAGGTTCTAAAAGCTGGCTGGTTAGCAACTACTTTAATACATCAAGAAAATGTTTCACATTTTGGTATTATATGTATGGATCAACTGTTGGTTCCCTCAATATATACGAACAAACTATGGGAAAAGAAATGAAGCCTTTGTGGACTGTAACTGTTAACAGAGGAAATTTTTGGCTCCAAGGTCAATTAACAATCAACTTTACCATTGGATCAAAAATTAGGGTAAGAATTGCATAAAAAATTAAAAGTATTAAGATATTAGTGTTTATTGCAGTAGGAAATACAGCAAAAAATCCATGCATCTTTATAAAAATGCTATTATAAAATTTTAAAGAATACATTTTTTTATCGATTAGCTATTGAAAACTATTTTCTACTACACTAAAATATCCACTCTTTGTTAAGGGGGTGGGGTCCACATAGCTGTTTTAAGAAAATTCATTGTTCGTATGATGACGATGCTTAGTTTTTGAGATATTGCGTTCTTAATTGCTGCAGGGGGTAGTGACTTTTACATCTATATGTACTGAAATGCAATATGCTAAGCCCTTGTAGGTCTAAATGTGGTAAATTTACCATCTTTAGATAATTGTTGAAGGAGTTCGAGGATGGAGTAGTTCCAGTGACATTGCTCTTGATGATTTCAAATTTTTGGATGGAGCCTGTGATATACTTCCGCTAACTGCCAAACCTCCACGTGAGTGATGTAAACATTTTATAACGCAATATTTAAAGTGCAACTCCCGTGAAATTTAACCTCCTCTTTTTTCGCCAAATACAAATTATACATTAAAAGAAACTTTTTGATATTTATTTGAGTATCTTCTGTTAGGTATAACATCTAAATCCTTAGCTAAACATCGGCACAGGATACAAATTTTTACAAATGAGTCGTGACGTCATAAGATGTACGCGTCTCTCTTGTGTATTATGGCTTTATATACAAATTGCAAGACCGACGATCTTTTTTATCAAACCCTAAGGCAGAAAATGGGCTGCAATCCAAGAAATTTTACAAAAGTCTTAAAAAGACAATTATCTGAACAACTATGAGCAAAAAATTTCTGAAGTACGCAACTTTTTTAGAAAAATTCTCAACAGACTGGCTGACACGGATGACAGTAATGTTGATGTAATGATGTTGAATTGTGATGTTTGCGGCTCGGCTTCGTTCGATTGAGTGCCAAACAAACACAACCTTGAACCTTTAGGAAAATGACGTAATTCCCGATAGTACAGATCAAACGCTATCGGTTAATTTTGAGTATTAACGAAACAATCATAAAAATGTCATAATACTGTGACGATTTTTTCAGAGACAGAGTCAGCATCATTACACTAGGCTTTTTACAAACCTTGATCCAGTAAGTACATCATCGGATAAAGATAAATTCTAGCTATCGAATGCTGCAAGCTGTCGTATTTGAGTGCCTCATTGGGTTTGGTAAACACCAATGGTAACTACCAGCTTCAGAATGTTTGTTAATATAATTTTTTGGCAAAATGGCACTATGCCTCGGCAAAATGCATTACTTACAGTACTGACTATAGACAACGGCTTACATTAGAAAGTTGGTATACCAACTTGGAACAAGCCCCCCTGAACAGATTACAGCAATTACCGGCACCTTACAAACGACTTATTCACAATACAAACAAACGATCAACAAAAACATTACACTTCATACTAATTCACAATGACAATACACAATTGACACCCACACATTAGAACTAAAAACATCACACCTAAATCACACATCACAACTAAAAATAAAAATATTTCACTTCGCACTAATTCACAATGACAATACCCATTTCCTGTACACACAATACAATGACGTAAGAACCAGATAACAAATACGGCTAACCTAACGTTTACTCCTCATTTGACTCTGAAGATGACTACCGCTAAGGTTGTCGAAACGTCAGTCAACAACAACAAAAACAGTCCTTCTCAGGACTATACCAACCTGGACGATCGACATTTACAAACATGTAACGATACTCCCGGGTTTAAACCATTTACTTTATAATTTTTTGAGTATAAAAGGATGAAATATCAAACGCAAAGCACAAATGCCTATGCTTTAGCTGAATAAAGGTTTTGGTGTTTATTTTTGAACGATACAGTACGATCTCAATTGCTTAGAAAAAATATTTCATGAAAAAATTGCTTTATAGTTTCATTTATAATTGCAGCATTGATATATAATTCAATCACATCAAGATTGCACAGTTTTCCATAGTAAATAAGGACAGCAATGAGACAAGTACTTGAAGGGCTTCAGGACTCTAAATAAATCCGCAAAAAATAAAAAATTAGCCATAGAACTTGGAAATATCAATGCGATGGAAAGTGGAACATCACCTTGTTAATCTAGCTACTTTGTCGGAGAAATCCAGAACCACAATCCAAATCCAATTTCTATATATTGGACTAGAATACTTGCTCAGCATTTGCAATAAATAGTTAGATATGTAATAAAATAAACATCCCAAAGACTGCAAAATTATATTTTGGGTCATCATTTCCAATGACATACATGTACCCAGAGTGGAGAACTTAGGAGGTATCATCGATTGCCCAAGTTGAATCTCCAATCTTGTGGATGGAAGGTGTCTCTCATAGACAACAGTAATTTTCAAAAAATCACCTTTACAATCTAACAGCCACTGTTAGAGAAGTACAGCAACCACAATCCAAACTTTATACAATTCTTACATATACTACCCCCTAAAATAAAAAATTAACCATAGAATTTGAACACATGTTTTCAGCACAGATACAAAAAGTCTCAAAAGTCTCTACCAGGGATGAATAGAAAAGAAGAAAAATTGGCTCATTTTGGCAGTTTCTTCTTCAACACTATATAAAAAATGATGATTTCCATTTGATTAACAATTTTACTTGATAATTGTGAATTTTACATGATAAAATTTTTCAGGATATCATCATCCAATTAAATCATCATCCTGACTTAATTCTTCAAACGAAAAGTAGTCGTTAAAGAAGGATCATCCAAATCATCTTCATCCTCTTCTACTGTACAATTATCTACAAATTCTTTGTCCATTTTACGTACAAATGGAACATCCAAAAGCGCCTTCTGCTGTGCCTAAAGCTTTTGAATTTGCTTCTGCAATGTCGCCCTGGTTTTCTTCAGTTGGCTGATAGTTTTTTTGGAGAAAGCTGATTTTTTTTCAATTGGCTGCATGATGTATAATTGGCAGACAATCTTTTTCTTGTTCTTTTTTTGCTTTGCTTTATATTTTTCTACAACCATAACCTTTAAAGGTTCACAATCCAACAAGTCCTTAGCAGTCATATCTACCTTTGGTTTTTGCCCTTGTTCGTCAATTTTTCCAGCAGTACAGGACGATATTATAGATGACGAAGACTTCTGGCGAGTCCAATGATAAATATATTAAAATGTGAGCAATGGCACGTATACATTCCATATCATGCACAATTAATATGTTTCTTTTTGCCTGTCTTGGTTGGCGATTCGTTATCTGTTGCTAACTCGTACGTAGGAACAATTCCCTGTTATGTCCACAACGGGAACAGCATTTCTTCTATCTTCTTTTCATATACTCGATATGAAATCTGCTTTCATCAAAGCAAAAATCTTCAAATGTGGCGAGCAGAGCAACGAATTTGAAGTAGGCAACCATTGCGGTTTATGTTTGCGAACAATATTAATCCATTTTTTTCGTCTTTGTGAATCTGTTTCCTTTTTAGGAAACTTATGCACAGAAATTCCTTCTGTATTTAGAATCATTGGTGCAACTAATTAAGTTAGGACCATCAGCAACACAATATTTACATCCACGAACACACTTTTCGCTATTGAAATATACGCCATGTACATCTTATGTCGTCACAAGGCTCATGTGAAAAATTCGTTCAGTAAGTGCCAAAAATCGCAACTTTGAAGAGCTGTAGAATTGATTTGAAAAAGTTAAATGAAATTCTGTTTTCAGATTCGTAATCAGCGCTGCGTTCTCTCTAAGATTAGCTCAAAAAAGAGGGGGTCAAATTTCGCGGGAGTTGCCCTTTAAGCTCTAGAAATGCCAAAGCAGTTGTACAATAAAACTCCCAAATTTAAGATAGTTTAATCTTAGGTTTCTTCATTTCAATAAATATTTGGTAAAAAGTCCTTCACATGGCGGCTTGGCGTTTTGTTAGATGCTGCTAATGCTATAAAATTTCATCTTCGTAAAATAAATCGTAAGAAACGTTGCGACTTTTCGTTGTAAGAAAATCATTGTAAAAACTAACTTTTGTACAAAACATATGTTTTCGAACAAAAACGCATTAAAATGTTAACAAGAAAAAACAGTCTGGCTTTGTTGTCTAATGAACGTTTTATTTAAATATTTTGAAAATTCAAAGATCTGTCAATGGCAAACATTTATTTTTAATGACCAGAGAACAGATCATGCTAACGTTTCTTTTACTTAACCATTTTTAAATAAAAAAGTGCTAGCAGATTCACCTATATATGTTTATAAATGTTTGAAATAGTTTAGTGTACTCTCAAGATGCATTTTTTTTCGAAGTTTTCTTTTTGCTATACTCTAATACTTTTTTACAGGTTTTGGTATCCCAATCAACATTTGTCCAACAAGAACTATAACGCTGTCTAAAGGACATATTGTATCACCAAATTATCCATATTATTATATTTTTACAGTACTTTTTACAATAGTCAGCTTACATGTCATCACAATTTTATAAACTTTTAAAACTTTTGTTCAATAGTGAACTTTTATTTTCATTGTAGCTTGTCTGCATAATTGTAATTGAAAGTTTTTTTTGAAATTGTATATTGAATTCCTATGGCTATCATGTCTGCCAAATTTGTAGTAACTTACAAATAAAGATGTTTTTTTGTTGTCTTATTTTTAATAGACAATATGTGAAATTAAAATTATTTAAAGAATGAAGTTATTGATAAATGCTAAAAAGGCTTTAAGATCTTCTGAGAATTTTCTCATTGAATCACTCAAAAAGAAAAAAGTTCTGTATATACCTCGTTTTTTTGCACAAAAATTTGTTTGGGTGATTTGGAGCGTTTCTAAAAGACATAAAAGTATTGTAACTGTTGCTGTTAAAACATCATCCACGTCATACAAAAATATAGAATCGTGGTCTTCCCTAAAATGTAAACAAGGCAGTAACTAAACGACTAGTATCTATCGTCTTGGGATAACACACGCTGAATAAAGGCAGGGTATACATATGAAGTCGAGAAATACCTGAGACTAACAACAATTCATGAAGGCACAATATATTCAATTTCACATTTTATATTTTGCACAAGAAAGAAAAATGGATAGTAAAGTAAAATATTGCTGACTACTGTTTTATATTTACCTCGTAAAATTAAACCTTAACAAAAATGTTAATTAATGTAGAACAATGGAAGTTTACTTTTGCCTTTTAAACTAAATTGGGACCGTAGATTATTTGTTCCTAGCTTTGTCATAATTCTTCTAACACTGTTTGCACAGGTGTTTGCGACAGTTCTACCAAAAACAGCAATTAGTAAAGCGAGTAAAAGATAAATTATAAGGGAAAAGTTTTAATTTAGACACATATATATAATCATTTTGATCCCGAATTGCAAAATAAAACCATCCAAAGTGAATGGTGAGAGCTTTTAGAAAGACCAGTTTCTTCGTTAAAATATATCAGCAGAATTAAAACGACACACTCTTAAAAGCCGTTTGAAGTATCGTAACGTATTTGAATCAGTCAGAACACGACAATGCTCTCACGAAAAACACGATACTAGATTCATATAGTTTAATCAGATAATCTGACCCCCTAACGTCACGAAAATCGTTATTAAAATTACGTTTCAGACTTTGATGAACGTGCATGTTTTCAAGCTTCAAACACAAATGGTAGAAAAAAGTCAATATTATGTGACGTAATTGCAAATGAAACTATCGTTTTCACGTTTCCAAACCGTTAAAGGGGAAGGGCTAGGCCTTCTTTTGTCACACTTTTTTACGTAACACTTGAAAGACTCGTGCATAAAAAATAGGCGGTGCCAATAAATATTACTAAATACGTATGGGTGGTTAACTTTCCAAAACTAACCGAGTTTCTTCTGGACTTTTCTTCATCAAGACTAGAGGATAGATTCTCAAGTTCTTCAACCGAATCTAAGGGACTAAGTACAACATCTTCCAAATTGTCGTGCTCGTCTACACCTTTCGTAGCACTTAACAGAGCACGCAATATTTACAACGCTTCTTCTTGCTTATCAATTAATGTTTGCAGTTTGGTGAGAACTGATCTTTGGATGCCTACAAGATAAATAAGAAAATATTTGAATAACTTATGTATGACCTACGTAACATCTTAAAAATATAAAACCTTACAACGTGCTAACAAGAACATTCAAATAAAAACTCGCATCAAACTGCTAATTGAATACGCATACATAATAACAATGCTATTCAAAAATTATATACTATAGAAAAGGTACCATTAATGTTTTGTTGAGAACGTTTTCCTGCAGGTGTTATGTTCATAAAACTTGTCGAAGGCGTTTCGTGCAATGAAAGGTAATGCGCATCTGCAAAGCAATCACGTGTTGCAGTTAGTTGTGAAGAAAAAAAAAACATTTCAAACGACACGAAATGAACGTAAATGAAAACGTAACAACAAGACATGCAATTAAAAATTGTAAGAAAAGCTTGCCTAGGACACCACTGTTTCGTTGAGAATGCTTTCTCTTGTTGTGCCAGCTGTAGGAATTCCTTGTGAAGAGACGTTGCTTGTATCTACAGAGAAGACATGTACTGGGTTTAACATATATCTTAATTCCACGCACGAACGTCATTTAAATTAAGGCACTACAAGTTTGAAAAGTCAGAAACAGAAAGGTGACTAAAATAAAAAACCTCGAGAAAGTTTCATTTAGTAGTTTGAGAGCAAACGCTGAGAATTAGATTTGAAAGAATGTATTTTAATTAAATCGTGGTGAACACAACTGTAATTTTATCTATAACTAACATTTTTTCAACTAATCACAACCTTATTTTAAAGAACCAACGACTACAGCACCTGTAGAACATGCATAAGCCATATAATGCAACGATAGGCGTATAAAAACAGAAAATGTACAATATGAATGTTAAAGTTATTTAAAAAGAATCAATCAAAATTATTTCAACATTTTAGTCGACATATTATATGAAAGTTGCTGATTAGTCAGTTCTGATGACAGAAAACTTACCACTACGCTGAGATGGTGTTCTACTAGTAGATGGCGAAGTTATTGCATGATCCTTTGTGTTTAGGATTTCTGGTGCTAGTTCACCTTCATATAAATCTAGATCAATATTATATTAGGATGAAAAGAGAAATTTTATCATTCACGTGTCTGTCAAAAAATTGTCCACTTGTACTAGGAATATAATTGCGCTTGTTCCTTTTTCTGCAAGGGAGGTCAGTTTGCTGTAGATCGGCAAATCTAAAAAGCAAAATCACCCATTAGATTTAAATATGAAAAACTGCACTCCTTTGATTAAAGCAATGGGCTATTGCATTGCAACTACAGTACTTACTTCTAGAATTTGTTGATAAGATTTCATTGACGGCTGTTATCATATTACTTTCAGAAGATTCTAATAAATGCTCATTGTTCATACTAAAAGATGCGCAACGTGGAGCAGGAGGTAACTGAGGGGCTCTGTGTTGAATTATGGGTTCATCACTGTCATCATCGTCTGATAAGAAAAAATCATCGCATAACAATGTTTATTGAGTACTCAACCTATACTAAAAATACGAAAATATGGTTAATTTAATGCTTGCCAAAGATGTAATATTTTAGTAGGTACGGCAGTACATTCAGTCTTAATACTATCTTTTCCCATCTTAAGGAAGAAGACATAGCCAAATTCAAAGAACTTATTGTGTTTTGCACACAAGATCCATCATTGACTACAGCCATATAGGCACGTATGTAGTATTTTAAAGATTACGTGATTTAAATGTATTATTGATCAAAGTAAGTGCAGCTAAAAGTGGGAAAAGCAGAAACTCAAACTGGCAATTCAATAAACGCGTCCACGTTTCATTCTCTAAAAAATGACTATTAGTCCCCCCTAAAGAAGCTTTCCATTTCGTAGCATATTCACTGTCAATAGCGTCTTTAGGAGTTTTTGGCTCTGTTATGTCAAGTTATGTAAAGTGCTGTGGTATCTAGCATACTCGATTTATTATTGGATTTTTCTCTCTTCTTGAGCTTGGAGGTCCATTTGAGAGATTTTGCTGTTCATACACAGTTGCTCGTTTTCGTTCATTTCATTATGTTTCTTGTTCGGTACATTTGGAACTATAGCTAAATGAAAAAATGTAAAACCTAAGAAACAGTCGCTATTGTGTATTTAGAAGTTTTTTAATAACTTACTTGCAAAATATGCCTGCTAAATGTTTTCAGAAAATTTAATTATTATTAAATGGAAAAGTTCTTTTAATTTTTAAAATCTGCATAGCTGTAACTAAAAATAGAAAATATTATCTCAGATGACGTCAAACTGTTAACAAAACATTTTGAAAACTAGCCACGACTTTCTCACGATTCGCCACCCGCGACAATTATATGCTTTAATTGCCGTGTTTATTTATAAAAATTTTCGTTCTTCTCATACCGAATGTCTTTAATGGTAAAGAGGTCTTTTAAGTGTTTTGTTTAATATAAACTTTAGTTAAACAAACAATTCTTTTTCTCGAAAATGCTTCAGCTTAAACGTTTACTAGGAATTGTCTTTTTAATTAGAATAGACATAAAATCACCCAAGCTAACAAAGACCCTATACATGGTACATACATCAGTATGCTTAGCGCCTGATAAGTCACTTTATAGCGTGCAACTTTTAACTAAATTAGCTTTTTTAACTGCATTCGCTGTGTAGTGCAGTGCCTTTGACGACAAGAAAGAGCAAGTTATACAGATCCGAAACCTTTTTTTGCTTAAATTTGAGGTAAGAGCGTGTGGTATTGTGACATAAGAGTTGTTTAAATTACGCGATTAACAGAACTATAAGAAATGTTTATATTACTCAGTATACTTTCTTAATTTAATTTCAAAAATTTAAGTAGTGTTTTACAGGCACTGCGGAGCGTTTTATTTATTAGGGGGGGGATTACAAATGTCAATAATAGGAGCAGCTTAAGACGTCCGAGTTTTAGCATTGTCATGAAATCGTTCGAGAGAAATAAGTTTATACAAATTTACCGAAATAATACAGCAAATCGTGGAAATAGAGTTGAACTTTTCATATTGTTCAACCATGTCTGTGTTCCGTTGCTTGCAATTAGTGTCAGTAAATGTTCAAAAATTGCGCTTTCTATTTTCATTGCGTTCAACGAACTCATTTGATGCCTCTATTAGCAAACGTTTGTCTGTTCTGTGTTTGTGGAAATGTAGTGCGACGCTATAAAACTGCTTTTGGGTCATAGTTTACCTCAACCAAGTCTTAACTCTTCTGGCCATGGAAAATGTTCTTTCTCCGGTTGCACTTGTTGGCATTTACTTCATATATAAAGCAGTTAACATTACTAGTTATTTACCAAGCATTTTATAAAAAAACAGATATTTTAAAGTAGGCATGTTTCGGCATACCTTAATTATGCAATAACTATTTACGATAACGAGGAAGACGGCTTGTTTTTAATGTTGTTAAAAAAGTTCAGTGAAAACACAGGATATAAAGTTCAAAAATAAATAATTCTGGAGGACTATATGGTGGGCCAGATTTTGATTGAAATCTTATCATTTGTGATTACAAATGACATCATATGAATATATTAATATATAAACAATAATATGTGAGAATAATTACACTCCTCCGCCCAACCACCAATTCTATTAACTCATTGTGAAGTCGTAAATTAACTAAAACACTACATTTACAATCATAATTTTACCTTTTCTGTAAAAATAAACCTATACTATGCTGTTTTTACGACTTGCCCGTCATTTTGAAAATAATTTTCTTATTTTCAAAGTGGCGGGCAAATTATTGGGAGGGGGGGGGGGTAAGCCAATGATTTAGTATGCCGCTTGGTTGTATAATTGTGCAATAACAGAAATTTTTCATAAATATTTATTCATTACAGTTTTAGAATGACACTACAAACTTGTTTATGGATAGTCACTTGGAGTGCAATGATTTTCTGTGGTAAGCAGTTATTTAGACAATAAAGCTTTACAAATAATTCATTTTATATAAGATATGACTAACGACCATCTGACTTTTATTTGATGCCAGTTTTAGTATGTTGTTCAAGAAATTCAGTCAAATGCACAATTTAGGAAAAAGTTACAAACTGTATTTTAAGTATCTGCTCAATGTTCAATTTAAAAAAAACACAATTAATTCACATTTCAAAGACACGCGTTAAAAAATATCCATCAAAAAATAAAATGTATTACCTCAACAAATTACATCATGAAACCTTACCTAAAATCTGATCACTTTATGAAGCATGAAACTTGACATAACATAACAACTAAGCTCACCAAGATTTGTTTTTTTGGGAAATTACCTCCAACTGAAAATATTTCTGGAACCAAAGAAGCTCTTTTTTAAAACATGAGATGAGCAGTTTTTCAACCAAGCTATTTGGTATAGCTTGGAGAGACCCTTATAACTCCCAAGTTTCTTGTTCGTCAACTTGTGGAAAAAACGACAAAGAAATGTCTTGGTACCATGTAAGAAAACTTTTGAATACGTGAAAGATAGCTGTCAGCATAAAATTCGTTGTGTCTGATCAAAAGAGTGTAAGCAACGATGCATATGTAAGAAGGATAACATTACGTGCACTGGACTGTGAAAATGATGAAATCTCTGGTGAACGCTTCAAACATAATTTATTAATGAATAAATTTTTATGTTTTCCAAAAAAAAAGTTAAAATCAAGAACAAAAATTAGAAATGCCATTAGCACCACTCGAAAATCAGCATTTATGTGTAAACGCAATGATTATGAATATTTGAGTCGACATTATCTCTGAGCACCGCCAACTTGTCACGTGATTACTCTTGTTTTAGAGTTTCCACGTGTCAATTGTTTTTTCAATGATCCATTGAATTAAAGATCTTAAGACAGTTTTCATGCCAATTTTCATGCATTTATGCAATGGCGGAATTGATTGTCGAAACTTCTAAGTTCTAAGTCTCCTTACGCGAGTTCAGAGCCGTATAGATCATAATACATTATTGACTCCTCACTTTTTGAGATAGTAAAAAATGTTTAGAGCCACTTAAAATTTGAGCAGTTTAAGGTAGAATCATTATTCAATTTGAACTTTTTCTTAAAAAGAGAAGTCCATATGTTGTTGTGTAATGATTGACAATATGACTTCACTAGAGTTTCCTGACACATTCTGCTCCCACGCGCAAAATTTTGACATGTTTTTTCAGTTTGAAAAACAAGTGAATAAAAAAATCACACCATCATCATCATCATCATCATCAGCCTGTCACGCTACTGCTGGCGGATGGCCTCCACATCCTTCTCCACTCTTCACGGTCTTGGGCTCTCTGGATCCACATGCTGCCCGCTCTCTGCTCGATGTCATCTCTCCATCTCCTTTTTGGTCTTCCCTTGCCTCTTTTCTTGTCCCACGGGGTCCATTCAGTTGTTTTCTTTGCCCATTCATGATTTTTCATTCGGGCTAGATGTCCTGCCCACTTTCCTTTGGCTTTATTAACTTTCTCGATGACATCCTTCACTTTTGTTCTTGCTCTCAGGTCTTCATTCAGGATCTTATGTCTCCTCGTGACACCGAGCATTGATCTTTCCATGCTCCTTTGGGTGATTGCCAGTTTCTCTCTTTGATGGTTGGTAAGTGCCCACGTCTCTGCTCCATAAGTCATTGCTGGTAGAATCACACCATATCATTTTTAAAACACGTGGTATGACAATATCTATTAAGAAAGTAAAGTTTGATTCAACTTATTTTGAAAAAAATTAACCAACACATGCATTTATCGAATAACTAATTTACAGGTGCCTCTTCTCAAAATAACTCCTGTGGTGAGCGCAAGATTCTTCCTGGACCTCAGACTCCACAGACACTAATTGTTGGTGGAACAGAATCTACACCAAACTCATGGCCATGGATGGTGAGTTTGACTCGTGGAGGCTTTCTTCATTGTGCAGGATCAATTATTGACGAATATTGGATTCTGACAGCAGCTCACTGTCTTGTACAATCAACACAACCACCAACTTTCCGTAACGATATTACAATAAATGTCGCAGATCATAGAACAGATTCCACTAGTGTGTATGAGTATTCAATCATACCAGAATTCACATATGTTCATCCCAAATACTACATAAACGGTCCCATATTTTTTGCTGACTATGATATCGCTTTGATAAAATTACCAACACCTTTAAACTTTACTGATCGGGTGCAGCCTGTTTGTCTTGCAAGTAAAGATGATGTTTTTGACGGGAATGATACATGTTTTGTAATTGGTTGGGGACGTACTGCATCTGGCTTGATTTCTCCATACTTACAAGAAGTGGAGCTCAATTTGGTCAGTCTTCAGGAGTGCAATAGTTTAAGTTTCTTTAACGGAAGAGTGTCGCCAAGGTCTGTCTGCGGTGGTCGTAAGTCAGGTGGAGTTGGTGCCTGTAATGGCGACAGTGGAGGACCTTATCAATGTAAACGAAACAACACTTGGCTGCAAGTGGGAATAGTTTCATGGGGAAGATCTTGTGTACAAGCTAGGTATTACAGCGTATTTATGGATGTCAAAAGTTTTTTGGAGCCATTTATTAAAGTAATTCAAAGAGGTACGCTTGCACTTTCTTCAACTTAACCTTCCTTAAATATTTACAACTCCATAAATAGCTGTATGAAACATGTTGTAATGTTCAAATAGGACATTGTTAAAACTTGTAAGGGTTATTTTTAAGGACAAAACCCTAATCTAACCATGTACTACGCAAGAACAATTGGAGATGTGGTGCCAAACGAAGGAGAACGTTATTCCTCTAATCTTTCGTGTTTACTGACAAATAATGGAGAATTTTCTGATATCGACATGGTCAGATATTTTCGAGCACTTCCTTATCAGATTGAATTGGTCAAGCAAACTACCTTACTTGATCTTGTTAGGGTATCTGAACTGCAAAATTTAGCTTCAAACACAACGACTTTACAACAAATCGCCACAGTTCTTGTCCATCAGATAAGTAACTTGTATGCTTATTATGCATCTGGAAGAGCAGGATGGGGTGCTGGTGAGTATGAATTTTTGGTTGTCTTATGCTTTACTTTCTATATTTTTGTTATATTTGCTAAGGTTAAGAAGGTACATCATGTTTGCTAAATATCTCTAATATCGGGCAATATCGGTATTAGTTTTGTAATATGTTTGTAAATGATGATCGTCCAGGATAATATGAAAAAAATATTACCTTATTACTTTATTACTTTATTATTAAAAATATTACTTTATTAACCTGGACGATCATCATTTACAAACATACAACGATACTCCCGGGTTCAAACCATTTACTTTAGTTTTGTAATAATTAATTATATATAATCAGTTGAGAAATCAAACTGATTTGGTTGGTGCCTTTTTATTACTTTGAGTGGGTCTTCCTGAACTGAGGCCTCTTGGGCCCAACCCTTAATCTAGCCTTGGTTTGGAAATGGACTCATTTTGTAAGCGTAGTAAATGCCAGGAATATACTTTCCCTAGCATTTTTTAATCAATAATATGTTTTTATAAAGCACTCTAAATTATTTACTTGAAATATTTTTATTGTAATTGTTTTATTGTGTATCATATTTTTTGTGTTTGTCTGTGTTAAATTTTGTTTAGTTTCTTAAATTTTGTTTAAAGGTCATTGGCAACGGATATTTTTATTGCTTATTGTACACTTATTTAGTAGGCTGGACACGAATATTCTTTTTTTCATAAGCAAATAATTTTGTTCCTGAGTTACATTCATTTTGTTTTTCCGAAAATAAAAATATTGCCGTCCATCTTGCTTCAAATTAACAAAAATTAACTCTTTGGTCACATGGCCGACGTGACGTCATATGTAAGTAAAAAGAAAAACAACAGCACAAATTTAAAAAGAGAATTTATGTCTGGCCATCAAAAGTGAAAATAATTTTTAATTTCTTTACCGTCATGGGCAGTATTCATAAGAATCAAGCCGAAGAAATCTTACCGTACCAATTTAAACCGGAAATTGGCAAAAATGCTGAAACATCGGGTAGATTAAGCGATGGTAATGTTTCAGAACTTGATAGTGAATCGCTATGTTCAGACAGTGAACATGACCACATCTTCGAAGCGGAAAATGCGTGGCGCTTAGAAACGCTTGACTGGTGTAAATGTGAAAATTGTAACTTGATGTCGAAAGCAATCGAAAGTTTTGTATTGTCATGAGAAGGTATGCATTATGATGAATATGTTGCCCTACTCAATGAAGTTAAAACGGCGGCTAGTGTTGGAACCGATTACGTTTGATGTTTGCGTTGAAGAAAAGTTGAAGTCGCGTCAATGACTGTTTGAGCTTTTACTGAGTTCGACATGAAAGTTGTTTGTGTTGACTTAGACGATGTGCGTGGAGATTGATGGAGAATTTCAGTGGTTTGAGTTGAAGCAGTGCATTTCATCGCCATAGGGTTATTTTGTGTTGCATGTTCATATGGATGGACGCCTATCTCTTCACTTCTTTCTTCAGACAAATATTCCTGATTTTTTGAGGTTGAAGGTCGTTCTGCTGAATTCAAAACGTCTGAAATGCCCTGTTAAAATAGTTAGATTCAATAAACAATTACTGTTCCTTACTGGTTTGCGTGATAAAAGTAATTAATCCTCGTAGCATAACTGAAAGTTACCTTTTTACGTTGTCCTCTCAAAATGCTTTCTCTCGTCTTAACGTTTTTTTGGACTGTTGGAATCTTCTAACGGTTTTTCCAATGTTGGCAAGGCATCTCTATTTTAGCGCACAGAAAATTTTTCTTTGCATTCAATTTTTTCAAGAAACTGTGGTGAATTACCTGGCTCAAACGCTTCTTCCTCAAAATGTAGAGGGATGCTCATTATAAAATATTAAGCATTCTATAGGTATGAAGATTAGATATGAACAATAGTAAAATAGTTGCCAATGTCCTTTAAACTATTTCATTATTATTTGCACTATGCCAATGAAGCTTGCCTTGTGTGGTCCGTACAATGGACATAAAAATCTAAATTCTTAAGAAAATCAAAGTCGATGATTGTGTTCTCTTTGAAAAATCAATTCTTTACTTAATTATCAAACAGATTAGCTACTCTAAATAAGTTTTTCATAAATTCACAAAGCAAAAACTGATAATGATTTTGATTTTATTTAGGTTTTTGCTCTTTTGAAAACGGAATTGGCACGTCAGATTGTCGCTATCATAATATCGCATTTCTGGATAATTTTGACTGGAGTGTTCGATCAGGATCAACCCCAAGTTCTGGTACAGGACCTAGTTCTGACAGACGAGGATCTACGACTGGTGAGTCTATGCCCATTTTAGTTTATTATAAAATACAGCTTTTTTAAGCAAAGTGCTAAGCAAGTCATTAAAAAATTTAGCTTGGCTTATGCCATGCTAGCAATAAATAGGCCATGCAAGCAAACCATGATACAGATGACAAAAAAATTATTGACGTTTCTTCTTAATTGGTAACATCCTCAGATTTTACTAGATTAAGTTACAATGCTAGGTGAATTGTGATTACCATTTTTCATAGTGTGAACATTTGAAAAAATAAGATTATCCAATCACATAAAGGTAAAAAGAGCGACAAAGGATTTGAAGACATATGTTTGCATTACAATCGGGCTTAAGTTTTGAAATTATTAAGTTTTTAATAATCAGAGGTAGACCGTAGAGCAAGATGAAGATATAATAACCAAATTTTTGGAAAATATTAGCCCCTTTTTTATGCAATGGTTGTAAATAGCTACTTGACAGATAAGCTCTATGGCATGTTCATCGTTTTGTACTTTTACACTGCACCGAGATGACACAAAAGCTTTTAGACTACTTTGAACCTCGAAAAACTTTTGGACTACTTTGAACCTCGAAAAACTTGGAAATGTGTTTTTTAAAGGAAAAGCATCGCACTGTCTGCTGTAAGAAAAAAACAAAGCAATTAAGTCATAAATAGTAAGAAACAGAAAGGAAAAGCTTAAAGTACAGTAGTAGTTTAGTATTTGAGGGCCCCTGGCCAAACGTTTTTAACAAGTGGAATGTTTTTTGGTTGGGAATACGGCGGCGAAAAAGAATTTCTTATAGCCAAATATTTATAAAAATGGTGGCTTATCAACATCAGAAATGTAAGCCAAAGAATAGAAACGTAATTGTAGCCCAACAACGTCAAGGTATGGAGATAAGATTTATTATTCGATCTAAAATTGCAACGAGTATATTAAAGAAACACAACAGAATTATTCATATATCTACACAAAACCTTACTTATTTTCGGATTTCACGGGATTTCTCAGCCTTTTTTCGTTTCTCTGAGAGAAGCGGACACCCAATACAGTCCCCTGAGAGAAGCGGATGAAAAAGTAAAAATTATTTGGGATGGATGATTGTGAAAACCATATTGTCTAAAAATTTTTTGCTATATTTTGTGTTGAAGATAAACAATACTTACAATTTATGGTTTTTCATCCTTTATAATTTATGTTGTGGCATGTACATAAAGAGGCTGACAGAGAGCTGTGAAAGATGGAGATTGATATAGAAAAGGTACCTTACAATGGTACCTGAAAATGCTCCTGCGGGTTGTATGGCAAATGCATTGTTACAAAAAATATTCCCTCCTGAGATCATTATTTCAAATTTCTCGGCCTTTTAATATTTCCATAATAAAAATCAATTAAATGTTTTCTCATGATTGATGTTGTGGAATGTAGGTAAAGAAGCTGAAAGAGGGTGGGGAATATGATTTTAGCTGATTAAACCCTTTTCATGTCAAGAAAAATGTAAAACAGAATTCCAATTACGTCCACATTGCTTTATATCGTAAAATGACTTGTTAAGAATTGTTTTCCATCACTTCCACACTTGACGTAGCCCTAAGGCTGCTCTACGTATAGCTTGCAACTTATAGGAGCGTTAAGATATTAAGTCTTAACATCCATCTGATCTACTGAAATATCTAAGTCAAGAGCAAGCTGTAATAATACACGAATGGAGTTATTTTAGACTTTGGAGAAAATATATCGAAATAATCGACTCCTGCTGATTGGGAATACCCTTTGGCAAAAGAGCGAGCTTTATAGCTTAGTTTTCCGTTATGCCCCTCTTTCACAGTGTAGGCTCTAAGGTCCACTTATAGAGAGACTATTTCTATATCTACATTATCCATTCGTGGAAAATAAACATTTTCTCCACATTTCTACCTGGATAAATAGAGATACAGGACTGGTATTGATTTGTAAATTTTACATTTCTACTTTTTTCTATTTTATCTTCTTCTGGAAACATAAATATGTACGCTGGACTATTCTTGTCGTAGACTAAGAGATTCCTTCCCTACATCTTGCATCTAGCTTCTTTTTGTCATGTGTGTAAGAAAAGCAAATGGTGCCAAAGACGGCAATGTTAGAAACGTCTGGTTTATTGCTTGTAAGTGCATGATATGGCGTTTTCTTAATGCAATTATTGTAACACCTGATACGAATAAAGGTGGAAGTCAAGATTGGATAAGGCCAAATTTTCTTATTTAACTTAGTTTTGATGAGTGGACACCTTGCCATTTCGAAGAGCGTACCCCAGTTTCTTTGCGCCGTATTGATTTGATGTGGAGAGTATGGAGCTGGTGTTTAAGAGAAATCTAAATGCCTGACTTATAAATTCTGAACCATTGTCTGACTTAATACATTTGATCTTCCCATAAGGAGAGGAATCAGCAAGAAATTTTTTTAATAGATAAGTGAAGGTTGTCCTTTAAGTAATCATCTATTAATGGCGTAGCATATTTATAACCCTGATTAGATTCTGGAGTCACTGGTCCAGCAAGATCAGTATGAACTAGATCAAGAGGAGATTTAGCTCTAACGTCTTGTTCTCTGTTGCGAACAATTTTCATTTTACCTAAAGTCCATACGTCACAGACACTCTCCATTGCCTTGTCACTAATACGCATACCATTAAAAAAACACCCTCAAGTTTCACCTTATCCTTTAAGTTACAATTACCTAGAATTTCGCGCCATGTTTTCAGATTGTTCAAGCTAGATTTTATACCATATAAATAATAGAGTCTCCCTTCTTTGTGAATGTCAAACTTAGTCCCATCACTAGTACTTATTTTGCTTCATCTGGGAGGAACGTTATTGTTGCGCTATTCTTAGATGCTGCCTGAACTGAGAAGATATTTTTGAGAAAGAAGGTACATAAAGAGCCTTCTTTGAAGTTACATTATGCTGGTTACCTAAGTTAATGTGCAGCACTTCTTTAGTCATACCCCCTTTTTAAAGCTATGTTATGCCTAGTACCATCTAACTCGATAAAATGAATATTTGAATCAAAATTGTTCTCAAAACTTACAAAGTTCTTCTCGTCGTTTATTATATGAGTGGTAGCACCACAATTAACAAATAAGCTTACCTTCAAACATCTTGTATCCTCGCTGTCGCTCAGGTCGTCAGTTACTTTGAAGATAAATGCATTCTGATCTTCTTGTTCTTGAGGTCTCTCGCGTGCGTATTTTGCTCCGTCAGATTGCTGTCCGTGATCTTTCTTTTCACGCTCTTTAGTATTATGGGTCCCTTTCTTGCAATTGTCACACCACCTCTTTGACTTGGGACACTGATCTGATTTCTCTTGCATTTGCTTGAACGTGTAGCATTTGCTTTTGGAATTACATACCGTTTTCAACACACTGTCCTTAGATGATGGCTTCTCGTTCTCTTTGTATGTCCGAAGTGCAACTTTTAATTCCGAGTACGTTGGTTGCTTGTCCTTTTGCGTGATTCCAGTATTAAAAGCTTTGAATTGAGACGCAACCCGTCTTAACAATCATTGCTATTAGTAAAGCATCACGAATTTTTTCTTTTGCATCCCTCACTGCTGCTACGGTCGCTTCCGCTCGGAGCATGCAGTCAGTCACAGTTACTGCTTCCACTTTACCCAGCGGGTTAACTCTGTATAAAGCGCGATGACTATTGGTTTACCGCTTGACCTATAATGTTCCCTTAGGATCTTTCTTCCTTTCTTCCCGTTATCCTTGGCTTCTCTTATGACTAGAGAAAGCAATCAATCTTCCGGAACTTGGATTAATCCTGCATAAACGTTGGCGTTTTTTGCTGTATTGGGTTTGTCGCTTTCGACTGTATCTTTCAACTTTATGAAGATATCCCATAAGCTTTGTCTCCCAAAGTTCATACTTCCTTTCATCTCTATTGAAACGTATTCGTGATCTGCGCCCAAAACCATTTGACGTTGTTATGTATATGGTGTAGGATTATTTATTATGGATGTAGTGATAATCACGCACCGTTTACAAAGAAGGCACATTGTTAAGAAGGAAATTCACAGTACAACTTATATGTTATATATACATGAAGTATATCTTTACGTAGTCCGCTGGTCATGGGAGTGTATTAGTTTACACTTAACAAACAGTAAAAAGCATGCTAAAATAAATGGTGTTGCTTTCGGTAGTGTTAGCTACACCTAACACAGTAACACTGACACAAACAACATAGACATTAACACAACCGAAAACAACACCATTTATTTTAGCATGCTTTTTACTGGTGAACACTCTCTTCAAATCCGAACACAACTAACTAAACTCTGCTCGTCTGCTTTCCCCCATTTATCACTTCGCTTTATTTTCCGTTCTCATTGCCAACTGTCCGACTTCTTTCTCTTCAAAAAGCGGATTTCAAAACACTTGTGATCTTGGGTAGTTTACATATTTACTTGTCAATGTGGAGCATTGTATATGTGCCAAAACACGAATTCTTGCATGAATCTCAGAATACTTTGAAGTCTCGCCTTTGATGAAAATGAAATGCAAAAAACAGCTCCGTTGTCCTGTATCTATAAAAATTATCACGAAAGATTATTTTCAATGACGAAATAGAACATATCTCCATTCCTCATAATTTTTCCATACTATCTTTTTATCTCCCCACTTCAAATCTCGAACTATTAGTTCGTGAAAGCTTACTTATTTGTAATCTTAAACCAGATCTTAACGAAAGCACTTCTTCCATTTTGTTGTCCCTATTCTAGCCTTCCTAAGATTAGTCAATCTCACTGATTCTACTTAATTTTATTTTCTTAACATGGCCATTCTTATTTGTATGTGTATGTTTCTAAGTTTACTAATTATTTCTTCACCAATTTCTTGTATCTTAAAATAACTATCATACTCTCGTGCATTATGAAATATTACTAGAATTTTAACCTAAGTTTTAAATTACAATCTTAATGACTTGACCCTCAATAATTCCCAATAATATGACAAATAAAGATGAGCAGGACTACCAAAAGCAAATAAATGTCATATTTGTGATCAGAGATAGAGACTGTTGTCATATTGACCATATTGACAAATAAAATATCTGCAAATAGTATCATTTATGGGATGAAATTAACAAAAGAGATACGTAAGAAAGTAACTGTGAACTTTTTAACAAACATTATAAAAACAGCTGGAGTCTATTTGCTCTTAGAATGTTTATATGCAATGACTTTCGCAAATTGTGTCAACACTATAATTATATGGCAAAATAAAAGCTTCAACTTATCTTTTTCGTGTTATTTTAGGTAAATACGCATATATAGAGACGTCCTCTCAATCAACTGGTGAAAGAGCTTGGTTGGCTAGTAGTTACTTTCCTCCTTCTATGAAATGTTTTACTTTTTGGTACCATATGTACGGATCGGCAATTGGCTCTCTCAACATATATCAACAAGCACTAGGAGGAGGGATGGTGTTACTGTGGACATTACATGGTAATAAAGGAAACGTTTGGTTTAGGGGTCAAGTTGGAGCAAACTTCAAGGAAAATCAAACAAGGGTATGTGAACAAAAATCCTCAGATAACTCTTCAGCTTTTTAACACACCCAGTACTTTGTTTCACGTCAAAAAATAGAAAAAAATATAATTTCGTATAAATCCAGCACTTTATCAAGAGAGAAATTTAAATTTGCTCATTTCATGCAGCCTTTACTTTTATTATCAAGGGGGAGGGGGGGGGAAATTAAGAGCACTTGTTGACAATCAACAGCATTTATTTAACCTGCGTAATAAATGGCAATAATCAAGTAGCAATAACGTGCTTTCAACAAAATCAAAGGATGGATCATTAAGATAAAGCAATCAGTTAAATAAACTTAAATATACTTTTTATGACAGAGAAGGGCGGCAGTGGTGTAGCTAGTGGTCATGCTGGTCATGCTCTGCACGACTAAAAATTTCCAAAAAAATTATTTCATTATTATTATTTTCATTGTAGAATCTGATGACTAATAGTTTCCTAGGGATTAATTTACTTGCATATAACTATATGTGACGAATGTCAACTATTGTATAGCGTTTTATTCTAGTATTCTATTACGTTTTATCTTGCTGCCTGGCATCATCCTTAACTGGCTTATAGCGCGATTTGGTCATGCTCACAATTAAATCAGCATAAAGATTTTGAAAATAATCGGAATCATCGGGAAAAAGTCCTACTAAGATGTTGTTAAGAAAATAGTGGCAGATGAAAAAAAAATACTGTTATTTTCTGTGTCTCCACCTTTGTCTGTTTCTACGCACGTAAACATGCTTTCGATTTATCTGTTCAGTGAACACAGTATCATATACGGTGGCCCACAAGTACAAACACACTTACAAATAACAAGACATTGGCACAAGTTTGAGATGCAAACTTACAAATAAATATATAAAAAGCGGGCGCGGACGACGGACGCAGACGACGGACGCGGACGGCGGACGCAGATGTAAGACGAACGTCTGTTTGTTGTAGTCGGGAATTGCAAATGATTTATTGTAGGTGTTTGACAGTAATTTAAACGAGCTTTATCTTTCAGGATATATTTTTTGACCTCATTATTTAAAGCAATTAAACATGCATATTTCAATTTCAGTCAGTCATATAGAGTGTAACGCAATGAAACCTCATTGTATTTTTTTCGTGTTTTGTCAATGGCATTTCACTCATGTTGGCCTTACGTGCGTGAGCCTGTTCATATTTACTGCACTGAAATGATTTCCGTCAACTTGTCATTTGGCAAGCAGTACGTATATTGCTGTTTTCAACTTGAACTTCCTTTTGAAAGCTGAGGTTTGAAGCCGTTGCAAGTTAGTCAGTGCGTCATTTACAGTCATGTTTGCTGTAGCTATATGACAACTTTTGATGAATATTAGCCAAACGCATTCAAAAAGCGTTATGATATTTTCCGTCGTAATTTCCGTATAACTTAGAGTCAAATTTAAAATTCTGTTTCACTGCATTCTTTCAGTCATAGCAATAGAAATATCGTCGCTAGGTTACTTTTCCGTTAATATTTCTAAAGAGCTATATACAAGTTCTTTGTTTATTTGCTTGAATCTTTCTTTTTGCAATGCGTGAGAAACTATAACGCTAGTGATTCATCTATAAAAGAAGGATTGTCTCATGTTTTTCAATATAACTACCGTTCGTATCTAAGGATGCGAGTAATTATTTCTATCACATAGAATTACCTCAGTGACTTAAAGTTAAAACGAATTGTGTTAAAGAAATGTGGAGCAGCAGAGAAGTGGGACCTCAACAAATATTCTTATCATATCTTTAAAAAGGAAATTACCTGTAGGACATTCTTTGCATAAGTGCATGCAAAGCTTTTACTTACTTATGGTTTCAATTAATACTTATTTTCTTTATCGTATGATTTGAGTCATAAAAGATTGACTTTTTTTAAAATTGGAAAAGCAAGGCTCACCCACGTAGGGCAAACATGAGTGAAATGCCATTGACAAAACACGAAAAAAATACAATAAGGTTTCATTGCGTTACACTCTATATGACTGACTGAAATTGAAATATGCATGTTTAATTGCTTTAAATAATGAGGTCAAAAAATATATCCTGAAAGATAAAGCTCGTTTAAATTATTGTCAAACTCCTACAATAAATCATTTGCAATTCCCGCACACAACTAACAGACGTTCGTCTTACATCTGCGTCCGCCTCCGCGTCCGTCGTCTGCGTCCGCCGTCCGCGTCCGTCGTCCGCGCCCGCTTTTTATCTACACCCAAAATTATATGCAAACAAATTCGTAGAGGACACTTATAATTAACAGAACAAGCGCACAAATTCGAATACATGTATGTATTCTGAAACATTAAAACGTTAGTTCAAAATTAAAACCGAAAAGCCCATAGTCTATTATATACTATATTTTATAGTAGAATTGTCCGTGATTTGATTGGTTAAAAGAATCAGAGCATGCTCAAACACGACATTTTACGTCATCTAGTCATGCTGATTTTGAAAGGCATGACCAATATAACCCCGCAAGTAATTTTCTTTATGTGCGAGATTCGTGTTTGTAGTTCGTGTACGTTGAAAACATTTCAAAACATTTTCTTTATAATGCATTATTTGTTTTCATATTTCTGCTGTCAAAGCAGATATCATCGGCTATTTGCTATGAAAGCTTTCTTAGCTTGATAATCTGGCTAGCAAAATATTATTGTAAAGCAAGGAACGATGCCGATATTGTAAACAACATTATGTGTTCAATACTTTCGTGAGAATTTAAAGATTATACGAGACTTACTTTAAGTTGAAGTTTTATTTGAATTCTACGAGTCATCAACTCTTCCACTCCCGGCTGATGACTCGTAGAATTCAAATTAAACTTCAACTTAAATCTCGTTTAATTTTTAAATTCTACTACGTCATCAGCCCAAGTCACGTCAAGTTGTATGAAATTTCACAGTAAACAATGGAATCAGACTTAATCTTTTTCATTAAGAAGAAAAAACAACAATTCCAGCAGTCAAGTTTAAATAATATATAATAAGTTAACAAAACATACTTATTCTCTACTGGTGACAAAATTGTCGAACAAATATTAAATGAAGTCTTGACAGGTTTATGGTAGAATGTCTGAAAAGTTGTGGCATTGGACCAGCCAACCGAATCAATAATCTGATTCATGTCTCCTAATTATGAGCTACACAAGACCTAGGCAGCTCGGGTAATTTGACATTCAAATTTCTTTGTATTAATATAAACTGCTGATAACACTGTCTTGCACCCAATTGATATTATCTCACGCAAAACTGGTTTGTACGGCTTCGTATAACTTATCAAAAGCTTTTGACACTCTTGAATTCCTAAATTCTCTGTTTGCTTGATATATTCCGTTAGGTGTCAAACGATTCAGAGCTCAAGCTCATGATGGTAAGCCTCCAAAGTAATTGGTGGAATTGGTGTGCAACCCTAGTTTGTTTGATTTTTTTTAATAACAAAGACACATTTCTCCACTGATAGAGCCATGTTTTTTGTATTAAGGAGATGAATAGTTTGACATCTTTCTCCATTTAGTATAAACAGCAGAAATTTTAAACGACATGTAAGGTTTTTTAAGGTTAAATCCTGCATTCTGGATTGTTTTATTAAATAATAAAAAACGACATTAACTTCCCAAATAGAGTTATATCGAGGGAAAGATGGCCTCATTTCAAGCATGCCCCTCATGAAACGTTTGATTAGTGGGTGCTGCCCAAAGGGTATATATAGAATGAACATTAGTCTGGCTGAAGACTGATAGGGCACTTCAGGCTGAAGTAACTACAGAAAACGATAAACCAGAGTGAAAAATTTCGAAAGCAAAACATTAATTTTTGCAATTTTTGGATTAAAAGAGTGCTCTTTAATCTGCCCCCAATTTGAAATACATGTTTGGAACTGGGACTTTGATCCCGTGCTCCTAGAGGCCCATGATTACATCAGATAATCTTTCCCATACAACCTAACTTCGTGAGTTGTTGACAGATACAAAATAAATTTTCGGTTCTAACTTCTTGCGAGGGTAGATGTAGAAGTGTGTTAGAGAGATGGCAGAGCTATGGTGGGTATCAGGGTTGTGTTGAGTAATTTGGGATTACGATGATGCCCGTTGCTTGTTCTTGTATAATTTTTTGAATTGTTTGCAAAACACAACTAAAAGGAGAGAAACAATAAAACTTTAGATTGTTCCACGGAATGGAAAAAGCATCAACTTGTGCTTCTTCTGGGTCTAATCGATATGAAGAGTAATTCGTGAATTTTTCGTTTAGTCGCGAGGCAAATAAATCAATTTCATTTTTGATATTAAACATTTGCAGAGATTCTTGAATATAGCATGGGCTCAAAATCCATTCACTTTGATGGTATATTTTTCTGGAATCCTTATATGCGACAATATTGGTTGACCCAGGTAAATGGGCACCAGTAATTTTTATTTTATTTAAAATGCAAAATTCCCAAATATCTACACCAAAGTATATAACTTGTCATTGTGGCTAGTACCCATATTGTTGATAACAAATACCGTTGTGCTGTTGTCAATCATTATTTTGACATGTTTCCTGCTGAAAAGTTTAAACAATAAAATTTAAGTGCCAATAAAGCAGCTTTCTACTCAAGGATATTAATATGATCAACAGTCTCCTGTTTGAAATTATCGTCGCTAACAAAAAAAATCAGTCAAGCAGTTATGAATACATGAATATACACCCCCCCCACACCCACACCCACTTAACGTTCTAGTTTCGCCCATGATTATGGATCTGTAAACCGGAATGGTTTTACTACCCCTAAGGCCGAGCAATATAATAATGCTGTTTGCTAGGCCTACATATGACAGTCTTTGATCAGGCTATTTCGTTATTTAGCCATTTTATTATCAACCTTTTTGGGAAATGGCTTCATTGTTATCCATATTATTTGATTTACTCCAGGTACAAACATTTGATCACAATTTTCAAGTCGTTTGTATATATTTAATGTTTCTTTCAATTTTGAAACATCAAAATTATCAGCAACTTAGGAATTAATAGTTTTAGTGAGAGACATTGTAATAGCAGGTCCAGTTTGCTCTTTAGAAGACAAAACTTGAGCTATATTTTCAAGGAGATTATCATTGTTAACCTCATCATCTATCTCCTGAAATTCTGTCCCCTCTAAATTTACGCAATGTGTCAGAAGTCTCATCAGGTTGTTTGTCAGATTCGTTAATTTTATTACTAACATCTAAAACATTTTGCTCTATTTTTAGCGGGTCATTGCCCCATAACTGAGTCAATAATATATTTTCAACACCTTTCACCTCGGAGGGAAAGAGCTCTATGAACCTTGCGGATCGCAAGCGCTCTCACGTTGCTCCTTAGCGACCAATGACTAATGATGAAGTAGAATTATGGTTAACGTTTACATTAAATATCTTTTTTTAAAAACATCTTTTTCGTAAATTCCAAGCGTTACTTAAACTTTAACTGCTTTGGTAAATATTATCGTTTGGGTGGTTTACACGTTCTGAATATTGAAAATTTTCTCTCTCAGCGCCAACCGTGGTGAGGTTGTAATTGAGGATGACCAAACATTTTCTGCTAGCTACGCCACTGATTAGCGGAGTTGCGATTGTGACTGACTATCTATGACGGCTTATTTCCTTTAGGACTGTCATCTTTCTTGATAAGTATTTACATGTCTATTTCAATGATTGCTTTATCTTATTGATCCCTTGTTTGATTTTATTGAATGCACGTTGATGCTACTAAAATAATACCGATTCTCATTCTACATGTTAATGAATATTTCACAGCGCAATTGTTGAATCGAAGCGTGTAATTAAAAGTCTAATGTGCTCTAATGATGAGCAAATGAGAGCCTAAAGCATGTTAGGCCGAAAAATTTTGATTTCGAAGGCCTTGGAATTGAAGTTTTTAGTCTTTTAGAGAAAGGCAAATCGTATTTTGTTGGCATCAATTATGTGTAAAAACAATATATTTTTCTCAAAACAGTACTTTGACAAGGACAAATTTTTTATGACTATAATTTTAAAAAGCCTTTTATAGGCCATGGGCTGTGTGTCGAAAAAGTCGTTAGAAATCAAACTCAGCTGCCACGGCCATCGCAGTGCTGAAATAACTTCCATGTTAACAATCATCAAAACCCGCAGTTTTTTTATTTTTTCGTTGAAATTTGCATTTTGAGTTCATTTATTATGAGCGGTGCCTTTGATCTTTATTTAATTTCACGTGACGTTTTGCCTTGCTTGAACATATTTTACAGTTCAACAAAAAATGGCAATTTTTTTGAACGATTCAAAGTTACAATGAAGAGAATGCCTGATAGTTGTGGATCTCTGTGCGTGATAAAATACAATTTTATTTGATAAAATGCGAAGTTTTCTTTGATGCTCACATTCCATCTTCTTGTCGTTTTTTTTTCGGGAGTTCCTTGGACATTTCATGGTTACTTATAGTCATTTGTACAAACTTTTGTTTTATCTGACATGAATCATGTTAAGATGACATGATTTACATGGCGACTGGGACTCACAAAATTTTCTACCTAATGCATAAAATTTATCTTCTAATGGTGACTCATCGTTTAATTTACTAGTGCACCTTTTAACACTTGCAACTGCAGCACAAGTAGTTGGTAGTTTCTTGTATAGAGAACATGATCCTTCACTCTTATCTATTGAGTGTGAGGGTGAACTTTGAAAATACCTATGATAGCCATAAAATGTTGGTAATAAAAAGAAGGGATTAAAATTAATAATAGAAACACGTCAATAAAATTGATCTTTTTAAATAAGACAATCTCATGGATTGTGTCATGGATATTTTTATAGACACTCTGTTAGCGTAAAAGTCTGAAATTAAAGAAAAATTCTCTGTGATCTCAATGGACTGTGGTTTTACATGTTAAAACTCTGTTATACATGTATTTAGCTAGCTTGCAAAATAATGATAAGGCACATAAAATTATCATAGCTAAAGAATGAAATGAGTCATCCAAAATTTAAACACTCATCTCCTTTGGAATAAAATGTAGCATACTTTACTATTCTTTCTCCCCTTTTGTACGCAAGTTTACTGCACAACTTAAATATTTGTTGTCGTAATTGCAATCTTAAAACTAAGACAAAGCTCAGCTTTTACAGTTAAAACTATTGTCCAATTAATGATAAGCAGTTCAATTTGACAGTTTAGGCAAAACTGTTGGCAGGCATAATCTTTTGAACATGTTCAATAAATTTGCTTACTGAGTGAACCAAAACTAACTTCAAACAAAACGTCATTCAAACAAAACAACAGCTTATTAGCCCCCCCCCCCCTGTCCCTTTGTACACAAATGTAAGCATTCATCATTTGGTCTGCCTCGTTTTCTTTGCATACGTACTGAATAAACAACCTCTAATCTATATTTAGATAGTCATTGAAGGTGTAGATGGTAACAGTTATACTGGTGATATTGCATTGGATGATCTGTATCTAACAAATGGATCATGTCCCACTCATCCAGCATACGCTCAACGTAAGTTCAAGTTCAAAGTAATTTTAAGTAAATTGTCAAATCTTATGGAAATTTAACAAACGAGTACCTTATATCATTGTTGCGTTTTGATGTTAATTACTAAACAAAGGTAAAATTATAATTAAGAAGACGGCGAAGAGAAATGATGGGTTTAATTTGTCCTTCATTACAAATATGCAGTCTCGAAGATAATATTTAAAATTCTTGTTTAATTTAAGATCTTTTCTTTAATCTACTTATGATGAAAATTTTTTGTGCTTTTTTACTTTCATGTGTCCAGCTGGAGCAGTTTTCCCTACAAGTAAGTGAAATCATTATTGAATAGAAAATCATAACACTTTTGGAGAAATAAAAACTTTTAATTTTCCCCTTACCATTTTTGTTGTAAAACATGGCAACCCGCACAACATTTAAACTGAGTGACTTCGTTTTTACTTTCGTGGAGTATGAGTAAAATACATGAACAATTAGAATTGCATCCTTCATATACAACCTGCTGATTATAGTATTTCGGAAATGCAATATTTATTATGTCGTCTTCACCAATATAATTATAAAATTTTGCTCTCCATATCCACATAGTAATGACGTTTAGTTAGTTATTGCTAATCGGCGCACTTTAATTTAATCCGCGCACAAAATTTAATCCTTCCACTAAATTTCCATTCACCATTTTTCGCAATCTGTGAACTCCAAGATGACCCAGACGTCAATGCCACAGCATCTCATCAGATATTCCAGTCGCTTCATTTACAATTTTTAAGTGTTCGACTTTATACTTGCAATCCGATACAAAAAAACTTCCAGCTTTCTTTGCAATACCGTTCGCTGTTCCATCATTGCGAAAATGTCACATGTTGTATGATTAAATTAATACCTAGAGTTTCCAGCATTGGCGACTTTTGCAACACTTATAATGTAGTAGCTTAATTGTAGTAAAGTAAATGAAGTAAATGGTTTGAACCCGCGAGTATCGTTACATGTTTGTAAATGTAGATCGTCCAGGTTGGTATAGTCCTGAGAAGGACTGTTTTTGTTGTTGTTGTTGACTGACGTTTCAACAACCTTAGCGGTAGTCATCTTCAGAGTCAAATGAGGAGTAAACGTCAGGTTAGCCGTATTTGCTATCTGGTTCTTACGTCATTGTATTATGTGTACAGGAAATATGTATTGTCATTGTGATTTAGTGTGAAGTGAAATGTTTTTAGTTGTGAAGTGTGATTTAGGTGTGATGTTTTTAGCTGAATGTGTGGGTGTCAATTGTGTATTGTCATTGTGAATTAGTGTAAAGTGTAATGTTTTTAGTTGATTGTTTGTTTGTATTGTGAATAAGTCGTTTGTAAGGTGCCGGTAATTGCTGTGATCTGTTCAGGGGGGTTTGCTCCAAGATGGTATACCTAATTTCTTGCACTTTTCCATTTGAAACATTTGTGTTTAAAGTTACAGTACCAATTCGGATTCTACTTAGGATTTTTCCATCTCCCAGCATTACATCCACATGCTCTTCCATATTCTGAAAATCTTTTAATAGAAGTTTATTTTTACACACATGACTGGTAGCACCTGAGTGAACTATCCTTGTCCCATCAAGAATCAAGAATATTCCCTTCACCAACAGCAAGACTTTGAACAACAAGTTCCAAACTCTCAGTTTCACGACATTTACCTTTCCCAGTTTTTTGATTGTCTTGTTTGTCATGCTTTTTTTATTTTCCTTTTCTTTGTAATTAGCCTTACAAAATCTTAGAATTAATTAGTTACTCTGACCATTTATAATTCGCTATTTAATTTTATTCAATGGAAATAACCATTTGAGGTTGCAACCATTTTTTGTTTATTTTAATCAATCAGTTTTTACAATTAGCGTATTGTATAGCAACTCTAGTTAGCTACAAAGTGTGTAAGAAAAGTAAGTTTGGAAAAAAATTAAATTAAAATTTAGCAGCTGTATTTTTGAGCAATTTAAAAGAATTTTTGATTGATTTCTCATGATAATGAAATGAAATTACATTATATTTAATTTTAAACTTTTTTTTAAGATACAGATTGCACAGGAAAAACCGTTTAACAAAACATATTTTTTTTTTAAATCAGGTAATTGTAGTTTTGAATACGGTATTAGTAATTCGAAATGTCTTTGGAGTAATGTTGTATATCCGTGGGATAACTATGATTGGATTGTCCATTCTGGCTCAACACCTAATTATGGTACTGGACCAAGTTTTGACAGAAAAGGATCAACGACAGGTTAGTCTAATAAATGCTATTTGCAATATATAAAAAAATTTTACTTAATGCTATAAATTCGTCAATTTTGTTGTCAATAAAACAGGAAAGTACCTTTACATGAGAGGATATTATTCGATGGGATCCAAAAGTTGGCTAGTTAGCAACTACTTTAATTCATCAACGAAGTGTTTTACTTTCTGGTATCATATGTATGGATCAACTGTTGGTTCACTAAATATTTACGAGCAATCCATGGGAATGGAAATGAGACCTTTATGGACATTAAGTGGCAATAAGGGAAATATCTGGATGAGGGGCCAAGTGACAGCCAATTTCAGTTTTGAAATGAAAACCAGGGTAAGTATCACATTTACAATTCAATAGTTTTACATAAATAAAGTTTATTTATTTGATCATACTAAGCTGCTTTTGGTGAAAAGATTAAAAGTTTTCAAAAGATAGGAGATAACTGTTTCTATTGCTATCAACCAAATGCTTCATACATATTGCTGCTCTTTCAAAATAAAAACTGCATCTTCAAAAAAAGAAAAAAAATGAAAGAAAAAATGTTGTTGTAAGCTTTGGAATTATTATGATTCAAATAAAAAGGATGAACAATGACTTCCCGCCGAAGGTGCGAGCCTTTTTAATGAGATGTCTAAACTCTGTCGAGACTTTTTTATTGACAAAATATGAAATAAAATAATCTCGAAATTCTTTTTGTAGTATTTTCATAAAATTGAAATTACGTAGCTAATATGATTACTCGTACTCTGGAATGGCATGAGTAGAGGTTTCTCATTGAGCAGATCCTGAATGCATTGCACTTTTACAATAGGCAACTACAAGACGTAACAAAATGTAATTCTTTGACGATACAAACAGTGAATCTAACGTTTCACTAACAATAAGAGAGGAACAAAATATACAGGCAATGAAGACAAAGCTACGTTGCAACATTATGCTTGTTATACACTTTTAAATGCGTATATGAAAATAAAAATGACATCGGTATCTAGACATAAAACACTTTAGATTGTTGCTCGGGTTAAAAAAACCAAAAAAATCACTCGTCTTTTGTCCCTTTTTGCGACATTTGCTTATGTTTAGATTAGGTCACCCATAACGGAAATTGTGTCCGAAGTCTTGTTGTTTTTAGATCATTGTTGAAGGTGTAAACGGATGGACTAGCTCCAGTGACATCGCTCTTGACGACTTTCACTTCATAGACGGACCATGTGATATACTTCCACTAAGTGCAAAACCTCCAAGTGAGATATTTTTTCTCTGTTTAATTCAAACAAAAAATATTGAAATAAATAGGTAAATCCTCTGATAACTTTAAGTTTACTAAAATAACTTTATATTAATCATTCAAACACAAATAAGTTCTGCATCGCTGCAAATGTTCTAAGAATATACTTTCATGACAACCTCACAGCAAGCAGGTGATGAATGTGATTAACAACAACGTTTGGTTGTGTTACAACAAATTTTCGACATTTTTTTTACAACCCTTAATCAAAACACAAGTCTTTGTTGAAAAAAGCAGTATGTAGTTATACAAGATGACTTTCCCCCAGAAAATATGCATTGAAAATAGAATCACAATGCAAATGATTCTGGACAAAATGTAATAAACATCTCTGAAACATGTGTATCAAAGTGCTCATGAAATCGTTTTGTGTCAATTTGTATAGAGAAATTTCTGATTAGTATAGATGATCTCTTCCTATGTTGAACGTTCCATTTATTTTCTTGAAACTATACATCTTTAAGTTCAGGCAAGAGTTTAGAATTATTATTTCAGAAGCAACTGATTAACAACAAATCTTTAATAGAAGTTATTAATATCTCAAATTCACTCTGTGCCTTGTTTATTACCTATGCAATCTATTATGAATGTTTATTATTTCAGAAAAAGAAAAAACTACTCAGTAGTGTTGTAGAATTGAAGTAGAAAATAACTATGCATTTCATGACATTGAGAAATTTCTTGGCTTTACTATTATTGAAAAATAGGCAACACAAATAATCACGCTAAAAAACAGATTAGAATATGAACCAGTTTTCACTAACACTACATGTTTTATTTCTACAGGCTTTGGCATCCCATTAAACATTTGTCCATCGCGAACTATTACACTGTCTAAAGGACATATTGTGTCACCAAATTACTATCCACGTTACTATCTCTACGCAAGATGTACACTGACGATTAAACAACCCCTTAATACAATCTTCAACTTCAGTTTTTCTAACATCTCTCTTGACTCTTACTTAATCGGTGAGTACTTAAATGTAGTTTTTTTGATATCGTATAATTCTTCTCATGTGTGTTGATGCCCGTTTTTATGCAAAATTTTTCATATTTTTTTACACACAGATGTAATTTTAAAACGTTTTATCAAACAATGTGAAGACCTGTGTGCATGTGTTAACTACGCATTTATACATGATAATATTCTGTCAACTTTATATAAAAGTTCTTTCGTTTATTTCATCATAACTCGAAAGTAATTTTTAAGTCAATTCTATTTAAATGAAAGTTTTAAGTCTGCCAGTTTTTAGAAAAATTTAAGCCTAGATAGAGAGTATGTTTAAAGTTGGATAGGAAATGCAATACATGTACAAGAAGTTCATTTTAGTCAATATCAAGGAGATGAACATTGCAAGACATTAGAATTTTTAAGAAGAATTAAATATGTTCATAATTTGTTAATTATTATGTTTGCCAGCATATTGATCTATACAATAGTATAAAAGTTTCACCACACATTTCAAAATTTTGATGTGAATAATTTTATTGCTTTAATGTTATTTTCTTCTTTATAGTATGAGTTTTAATTCCAAAAATGACGTTATTGATTTATAATTACTTCAATAATCATTCAACGATTTATATGCAGGTAATCAAACAAGGTGCATCGATTCTCTAACTATATCTGGTGGAACTTCAAAACAATTTTGTACCAACACGACGTCCATGACATTTTTACCTCAAACAAGTGTCGTGGTTTTGACGTTCAGTGCTTACTTGAACAGACGGTTTGAAGGCTTTGCTCTTGACTTCGATACTTTCAAGAGTAAGTGCTCTAATTATTGTTTGAATACGAGTTTTAAATTTTTGAATGCTCATAAACTAAGTTAAAGTAACAAAATTTCATTCTTAAAGATGTCTTTTTAAAAGTTGATCTTAAAGACTACATGTTCAGGAATGCACGCGTGTTTGTTTTTAATCTGTTTTTTATTGATTTAAGTATACTAATGATGGGCGGCTAAGGACCAATTTTGAGCAAAATCGTTCACTAGTGGGAAAGATAGATGAAAAATCGTTTGTTTCGTAAAGAAAGCAGGAAGTTTGGCAGAGAGGGATTTATTGTAACCTTTTAACATTAAGATATTGAAACATCGCAAACTCTTAATATTAGAGAAATTTTACGGGTGTTTTGCATAAAAGCGAGGTAAAACAAGAAAATAACATTAAGACCCATAATTTCGTATTAAGCCTGAGTCAATTGACTTTTAAATGTTGCATTTCGTCATAACAGCTGTGTCAAACAAACATGTGAAGCTTTTTAATGAATAAGTCTGGTTAAATTTTAGGTGGGTAATAGGTAAGAATTTAAAATTTTGTATTTTGGGGAAAGTTAATATCAATGAAAAAACGTTTATTGTACATTGCGGTTGCTGCAAATTGGAATATGAATATCCTTGTACTGTCTTGACTATGAATTTGTATTGTTGAAAGGCAAGGTTTGCTTTGATCATCTATAGGTAATATATAAATGTATGTAAATAGTAGACACTTATAACTTACATATAGATATAATTACTATCATTTTATCGCAACATTATTCAAGTACTGCAAAATGTCAATGGTAGAAATAATAAAGACTTGCAATGAGGGCAGCATGTTTTGAAAGATCATTTTGGATGGGTGATGAGTTTGTCCGACGGAATGGTGAGGTCTTGTATTTTTATTTGTGTTTTCAACACAATGTTTTCTTTAGCTGCAATTAAGATGATGTTATCGATTTCCCAAAACTGTGTATAAATTATTGCAATTAACTAGCAGATTGTAGAGGTGAATTTTTATTTGTGAGTATACATATTTATCCATAATATCTTGATTCTAATTTTAAATTAGAGTTTGGAAATATTCTATTTTTTACAAGAATCACATCTGACTAACGTTAGAACGCGGAAAATGGCTTGTTAGATGTCAATAATTTTATTCAATAATTCAATAAGATTTTTTAGAGCATAAATACAAAGTACAATTGTGATATCTTTACAGCGTTGGGATTAAACAGTCTCATTTTTAGCTGCCGTTTACCTTGCCAAATTAAGTATCCACTGCAGCTGAGGAATGCCCAACAATTAGATAGTTCCTTACGCCACTGTCTTTGCATGCATAAAGTGCTGTTCACCCCAAATGTGTTGATTTTAAGCTAGAGCATCGCTTTCGACATTCTTGATGGCACCCACATTCAATTAAAGCTGATTAAGAATAATTTATACCAGAAAGTGTTCACCATAATAGTGTCTATCCTTCACGTGACTCCTCCCATCTCCAGTCACATGGAGAAAGGAATCCATTTTTCATTAGACTCCTTCCACCCCTCATGACAAACGCCCTTTTGAAAAAATCCCAGCCACCGCCATACATCAGTGATAACACACTACAAATTTTGGAGCAGTAAGTCTTCCTAAACTGTAAATGGTGTTTTGCTGGAGTCAGTTAATTGTGCCTACCTTGTGATTAGGCAAGGAAGGGGTCGCGAGAAGGACGTACACCATTCTGGTCAACACTCTCTCACCTTTCTAGCTCTTATTCAGCTTAAAACTTGTGTGGGTGCAAGCAAAGATCTCAAATAAATTTGCGCTCGGTGTAAAATCAGCATTTGGAGTGCAAAACATTTGGTGCACACAGAGAGGACAATTTTGTAGATAACTAGGTGATTTAAATGTCTTTGTTGAGCATAGTATTACGTTAAAATAAGAAAAAACATGTAGATAGAGCGCAAATTTATTTAGCTATTGAAAGTTGGTTGTCTAGCCTCGTTTTGGTGCAAACGCTATTTTATTAGATACAGGTTTGACTAGCTTTGAATTGCAACACGCAATTAAATGCAAGTATTGAAAGTGTAAAACTGCCATTCCATTTACAAGAATTGAAAGATAATTTGAAAACATTGCTTATTTATTCTATATTGAAAAATTTCTTAGAAACTTTTAACTCCTACCCCCCATAAATTCAAGGAGACTTATGTATTTAAAAGCTTTACATGTTTGTTTGACACATCTGTGATGACGAAATGAAAGATTTAAACGTTAATTGACTCAGGTTTAATACAACACTATGGGTCTCGATGTCATTTAATTGTTTTCCCTCGTTTACATGCAATACACCAGTAAAATTTCCTTATTATCGTGATTTGGCAATGACTTTATAGCTAAGTCTTAGTGTTCGCTAGTATTAAAAATCTTAGTATTAAATTTTAGTAGTAGCTTCGTATCTAAAGTATACAATAAAATCCCTCTTACTGCTTTTTTTGCAAAACGAATGATCTTTTCATATATTCGCGCCAATATAAAGAAAGTTTACTTTACAAGTTGAAAAAACTTAACATTTCATTATTTATTTTATGTATTGTTATGTTTGACAATTTTTAGGTGATAACCAACCTCCTGCCTTCAGTGTCTGTTCTAACAAGACAATATCCAGTAACTTTGGTCGTATTTACTCACCTGGGTTCCCCTTTGGCTACAACTCTAGCTTAAGATGTAGTGTTACTGTGATGATTCCTCAGGACAAATCCTTAGAAATTGTAGTCAACTATATTGACATCGATAGGAGTGAGTTAAATTTGAAAAAATTCATTTTATGAACGTGTCTAGCTTACATAATCTTCGCAATTATTTATGGAATACGATCTTTGTGACTTCCTTTGAAGCTTCAATTGCAAATTCCTAGCTCTCAAGTTGAAATGTTCTACATTTTATTAGATTATTATTCTGGGTGCATTTATGACGAGTTGGTCATATCAGATGGATCAACTTCTAATTCTACGTGTGGAAAGTCAACTGTGAATAGCCCTCCGATTTTCTTTACTAAAGAAAATATTAATGTCAGTTTTCGTTCCGCCCCCTGGAGTAATAGTTTATCCGGTTTTCTACTGACATACAAAATTATTGATGGAATGGGTATGTATACATAAATTTTTTTGGAAATCAGCATTTTGTGACATTGCAACGTGCATGTTAT